TGTATTTTAATTCTTTTAAATGCTTAATTGATTTACATTAGGGTTTAGTTAACGTTTACTTTAGGGTTTTGTTTTAGAAGTCAAGTCTTGGTAGCCGACGTAGATTTAATTAGGATTTTCTATGGGCCGGCTAGGTTCACTGTAGGGTTTGGATTGAATTTAGGTTTTATATAAACTTATAAATATACGTATTAAGTTCTGCCTAGGGTTTTTAGGAAACCCTATTCACGACAGTGGAGGCAGAGAAGGAACATAGGAGGATTACGGCCGTTTGCCGGAGAAATTTACGAAGACGACGTTGGGATTTTTAACCGAAATCTCAAAGGCAAGTTCTAATCCTAACTCTCTCCCTTAGGCTCGTGTTCTTTGCATCTCTAATACAATTCCAGGGATATATAAAGGTTTAAAATTAAACTGGGTTTGCATGTCTGAAATAGCTAAACCTAAATGTGTTTATAAGTTGGTTATTGTTTACTTTGAACTCTTTCTTGTGAAACCCATGTTTTACTCTATGTTTTAATTGATTTTAATTAAATAGTTAAGGATTTAATCAACGCTGGAACACCTTGGGAAAATATTAAACTTAATCTGGTTCGCATGGGTGATCACTTGAAACAGTATGATCATGAGTGAGTAGTTGTTCCGGTTTGGGTCCTTCTTGCATAAGTTGTAGTCTAATTGATGTTGGTTGATGAATTAAGAGTTTAACTAATTCTGGAACACACTAGACCTAGTATTAGACACCTAGGAGCTTTAAGAATGGAGGGCAGACGAGCAAAATGTCAGAAAATAACCGGCGTCGGAGAAGACGGAGGCTGGGAGGAGTGGAGGCGGCTCCACCCTTCAATGGAGGCGGCTCCATTGAAGTGGAGCCGGCTCCATATGTTATTGGAGGCGGCTCCAATAGGGTGGAGGCGGCTCCACTTATTTTTGGAGCCGGCTCCAATGTGGTTTTTCCATTTTTTTTTAAGTTTCAGCGAGAGTTTTGCTTAGGTACTTGGATTTTAAAGGTTCCAGTTTAATTCAAAGCCTTAATGGGGGTTTTCATAGGTGTCTAAGAGCAAATTAAATCACCCAAGAGCCTTGTTAATGCATAATTAATCACCTTGTATTATAGTTTGAACATTATAGAATTTTTGCACAAGTTAGTATACTGTTTAAATGTGAAGGTACAAAATTGTTCAACATGGTTTTAGCAATTTTGTCGAGATTGATTTTATAGATTTAAATCATGTTCCAGTGGTGAAATATAAGCATGTCAGATTACAGAATTTAGTATATGCTTATAGAGGATAAATTGATTTATACATGTGATAAATGTAATATCAATTCTTGGATAATTATGTAGCGGTATAAACTAAGCATGTTCAAATATATATTTTGATTATGATTAGCACGGATTAAAGGATGTCTATACTTATTCTCTGTGCAATAAATTATGAGAGAATCAGGCAACGGTGGTATAAGACAAGCATGTTAGTTTACAAAGTTCTATTATGCCTCGTATGGAATTAATTAATGTAAACAGTTATTTAGATTTTTCCAATTATTATGGAACAATTGATGCCTACATGTAATATATTATTATCAATTGTGGAATTTATGGATTAGTTGGTATTTACATATATACTTGTATTGTCAACTACTGGATGGATGGAATGTATGCACCGGTATGGGACGGGGGGCATACAAGGGGGATTAGCTCAAAAACCGCTAAGTCCTACCTATTCTGGGATTAAAGAAATGGATTGACTAAAGGTGAAATCCTATGGGTTTGTAGTGTCAATGGATTCTGGATAGATTTTAGATATATTTTTATGGTACCTCGATATGAGCTTGAGTCTCAGGATCGACGGTTAGGGAGCGTATATGCATTGGGATGCATAGCTGGCTATGATGGTTGGAGGTGTACCCTGTTAGGCTTAGGTACACATGCCCACTCTGTGTGCGTTTTGCATGTTGCCTCTATTCAGGTTGAGACCGGCCTGTAGTCCAGTGAGAGTCCTTTAGTGTGATTATATATATATACATACAGACTATTAGCTATTGTTGAGTTGGTTAGAATGTACATGTGTATCGAGTCTCTGCTTGGATTGTAGTAGGATAGAACTTGTTCGTGGGCCTGACCCACTCCTATTTTTCAGGTGTACGTCAGTTCCAGGCTTGAGCTTGTTCGTGCTGGGCAGGGACGATCTTCCATTCTACCGACGATGTAGGATTTCTTTCCAGATCTTGGATTTGGGTTTTATCTTTCTTTTTACTTTCATTTAATGTGAGATTTTTATTAGGGGTCCACTAGAGATGGATTCCCGAGTTGTTCAAACTATGGATATTTGGTTTATCAACTTTAAGTATTTAATTATTTAAGGAGTATCTTTTAGTTTCTTTCCAGCTTTAAACTTTCATTTCTTAATTCATTTTGTATTCCATGTTCGCTATAACATATTAATTGTTTGATATTCCCTCGGGTTTGGGCCTGGGCCTGATCAACCCGTGTCTCGGATCCGAGGGGTATCACAATTAAGTAGTCGGATTGATGACTTTATTTATCCGATATCTAATTATGCATTGAGGGGTCAGAGTGCGATATTGACTTAGAGGTTATTTATTATTTAATTGGAGTTCAATTAATTTCTTTTAGTGGAGCATAAATTAATTTATGAATTGATTGAGTTGGGTCCATGGACCGGGCCAATTATTAATTCATTGTAGCCAATAAAATAATAAGCCCAAAGGATTCTCACTCATAGCCCAACTTGATATTGGAATCATATTAGATTTGAGACATGTGAATTAGAGATTGAGAAGGATTAGTTGTTTCATTTTCTTTATTTTTATGTTGCCTATAAATATACATGGTCTATGTATATTTTAGGAGTGATTTTTAGTAGAAGGAAAAATGAATATATTTTCTCTCTCTAGAAAATTAGGGTTTATGTTCTCATCTAATGGAGGCTCCCACAAGCTTAGTTTTCCAAGGTCATTCATGGAGGCTTATGAGTGATTCCTAAAGGCAAAACAATTACCAAGAAGATGGAGATCCAAGGAGAAGGCATCTTGCTAAGGAATCTACAATAAGTGAGAACATTCACTTTAGAGGAAAGATTTAAAAGTTTACTCAGACCTTTGATGTAAGTATTCAATCTAGTTTTATTGAATGAGACATCATATTTTATTTTTGCATAAAACTTGTCTCTATGTGATGAATCAAGATCTATGAATCAAAATCTCTCAAAAAGTTTTTAAAACTAGCACGTTTCCCAACAATAACATCTCCAAATGACTGATAAACGGCCCTACATCTTGCATCCGCCCAAAATACATTCTTTAAACGCCCTTCATCATCTATATCAATCATATAATATATATTTGAATTCTGATTTTTCATGCAATAAAAATACTTGCGAAGGGCTTCAGCATCTCCAATCCCAAGTCTCAATTGTCTTGCTTTTGCTATATAATTTCTACAATCCCACTCACTGAACGATAAATTTTCATAGTTACCAACTTCAATAACAAATGCGTGAAATTTTTTATTCAACTTTATTCTTACTAAGTCATTTAATTCCAATATTCTCTTAACATGAGAATCTAGTGCCTTGTTACATCGGAAGTGTCGTGCCTTAGTCGGACTTAATGCATGATTGTGATCAAGATAAACACGAGTAATAATGAAATTCCCATTCTCTTTAACTTTTATATTGATTTTTGCCTTACAATTTGTCTTAGTCGAAGGCCTTGGGTTAAAAGAGTTTTTTGCAATTGATATTGACTTACCATTTCGAGAGCATGCAAGTGAAAAGTATCTTGATTTACTGTTACTTCCGTTCTTTACGCTAGTTTTTTTTATACCAAAACCTTGACATTTAGTATAGTTGTTATAATAACTACGTACTTCTTTTTCAGATGGAAAAATCATCCTAGCCTTGGGTGTTTCCATTTCATCCAACTCTTGCTCGGTTCCTTTATCATCACTACTAATCTCATAGTCATAAGACATTTTAGCATCTTGCAAATGGGGATTTTCTTCCATTTCTAATAAAATAAAAATTATAGTAAACAGAATTTCCAAAAAAAAAAAAATTAAAAAAATTATAGTAAACACTTATGAAAGTAAAACAACAAAGTTAAACATTTATGATGAACAACAAAGTTAAGCACTAACGATGAAAAGCATAGCATTGATGAAAAAAATTAAAAACTATCATTAATTTTTTTCATTTCCTGCTTTTATAATACGCTGTATTGCATTCTTTTGTCTAAATGTATTTGATATCAGTATAAATAATTTACACCAAAATTAACACAAACAAACCCAGACAACATCAAAGACATTCTGTTTATTTTTTTGAAGAAAAAAAATAAATCCATTTCAAACCACATATCAAACACATGGAATGCATATATTTCAATTTATCTCTTTGAAAAAAATTTAAAGACTGTGAAGAACAATAAAATCAAACAAATAAATACACATATTTACCTTCAAAAATAAAAATAAAAAATGATACAATATATATAAATATATATGAATATGATATGAAATTGTAACTATACCTTAAAAATCAAAGGTTATTTTTTTCTTAAAGTTAAAATGATACGAAATATTGTTTGAAAAAACGAAATGAAGAGGGAGAGTTTTGATAACGAGAAAAACTTAGCCTACGATTTGACAGCTAAAGAAAAATAAATTTGAGAATGTGTATATTATTTTTATTTTTATTTTTTTTAATTATTAAAAATATTTACCTGAACTTGCCAGGTATATTCTGGCCAACTAATCCGCGCATCTATCACTACCCGTTTGTTTTTTGCAACACCAAAATTAAACAGGTTACTTGGAAGGCGCATGTCTTATCAAGTCTGAAACCGACATTCCACATAGCAGGCTACGGAAAATCGTTGCGTGCAAAACACGCTCCCACAAGCGAGCGTGAATAACGCCAATTGTCCTTTTTGAAACCCTTTCCCTCCCCATCGGTAAAACTCCAATCCAACACTTCACTCCACTGTCTGCCATTTAGCCCATGCAACACCTACTGCAAGTAACTTCTCCCTTCCTCTTCCAATCATTTTATCCTTTTACCTTCCAAACCCTAACCCATCGTCCCCACAATTCACCCTTTCTCGAATTCAACCAACACATAATATAACTCATCCAAATCCTCTGTTTCTCCGTACGCTCATATACACACATCACATATACACGTATACATATACCGACACACACATATATGCAGAGAAGGATTGATTTCTTTACTGGAGATGTGATTTTCTTGAAGGAGTAGTGATGGCACGAGATGGATTCATTGTGGCGGCAGAGATTCAATCGTCTCTGATGAAGAAGACGGCTGTTTCTAGGAGTTGGATGTTGCTAGACCAAAGTGGGCATGGTACGATTCTTGATTTGGACAAGTATGCCATAATGCGACGTGTGTCGATTAATGCCAGAGATCTTCGAATTCTTGATCCTCTCCTCTCTTATCCTTCTACAATTCTTGCCCGAGAAAGAGCAATCGTTCTCAATTTGGAGGTCAATTTCTAGAACACCTGGTCTCCATTTCCATCTTTGCCTTTATCATTCCTCTGTTTGTTGCTTAAACTGTTTTTGTTTCAATTATGTTTCAGCACATCAAAGCAATTATTACAACTGAAGAGGTATCCTCTTTCTCTTTCTCAAATTCCAGAATCAATCTTTCATAGTTTCCCTATTTTAATTTCTGATCCACCAATGAGTTGCTTAGGTATTGCTTAGAGACCCAATGGATGATGATGTTATCCCTATTGTCGAAGAACTTCAAAGAAGATTGCCGCCCCTAAATGCAATTTGCCAAGGTCAGGGAGAGGATGAAGAGCAGCCAGGGGTGCAGAATGATGCTGAAAGTGAACCAAATGGTATGCCATTGCATTTGAAGAGAATTATAATATTCTATTTAGTATGTTCAATTTGTTCTTGATGTTAGGTTTTATTTTTTGATATATTGATTTATGATTTTGAGTAATTCATGTAGATTTCCCATTTGAATTTCGGGCTCTAGAGGTAGCATTGGAGGCCATTTGTAGTTTTCTTGATGCGCGTACAAGAGAACTGGAGACTGCTGCTTACCCGGCTTTAGATGAATTGACCTCTAAGGTAAGGGGCTGTTCTAGAATCTTCCTTTTTCCCTCTTCTATTCGATTCATACTTTCGAAGCCATATAATCTCCGGCTCATATCTGCTTTCTTTCTTTAATGCACATTCATAACCATACATATAGATATAGGAGATGTCAACACTGGTCTCGTTGTTGACGTCCTTAATGGCTTCTGCGCAGTTGGAACGGATTCTGTATATTATATATTATGTTATATTATAAAATACACAGATATATAATCCTTTCTGACTTTATATATTATGTCCAATTTAATCGATCACACAACATTGAGATCCCATCCTTTGTTATAATACCAATATATATACATTATATTAAATAATAATATACTTCCTGTCTTGTTTTTTTGTAATTCATGTTCGTTCCTTTTAGTGATTGAAGATTTGGTTTTGGTCATATGTTCAGAGTTTTATTTTTATTTTTTTCAGTTGCTGATCTGTTTCGTGGTTAATTTACCCTATGTTTGGTTGTTGGGAAAGCAGATATCAGGATAGATATTTGAGGATTTTTTTTCCCCTTATTTCTTTCTGAATTTATTTATTTCTGTTTCTAATGATGACAACCTCAATTAAACTAAATCTAATGGGTGTATTTGATGGACTCTTCGTTTACTCGGGTCCTAATACAATATGGTGAAATTGATTTTTTTTTTTTTTTTTCCCTCCTAATTTTCTCATCTATTAATGATTCTGTTTTTAACTAATGCTCTGTTTCGTTGAATAGAAAACAAGGAAGATAAAAGAAATTTAAAACTTTTAATCTCAGAATTTTCGCTAGTTGAGATCCAATAGAATAAATTTGCACTCATCTGAGCCCAATTTAACTATCTGGCGTTCTCCAAGGCTTCTGTTTTGTTTGCAAATTGTTTTCTTTCCTTCAAAAACCATAGAATCTCCAGCTCCCATTGTTGTACCTATCTAAGCCAATTTTCTATCATCAGTGAGAATTGCAAGTAGTTCTGTGTGGTTGAATTCTAGTTCTTTTGTTATGAGTTCTTTCAGTGAGAAATTGTTGGCAGAAGAATAGCCAGGAAGCCCTTTAATGCTGGTGTTCAAAATTTAGGTCGAATGCTTTAATGGTTCCTCTGGACAACTAGTTTTGCAATTAAATATAGGCTGTTTGGAATTTATATGGTTCTTAAGCAGAATGGCTACTTAGGGTTTTGAAAAAAATTCAGTGGTATTTATCATATTTTATCCTATCAAAAATATTATTGTCATATTTTTTTTTCCTAGTTGGTACTCACACACACATGTCTCCACTGACACTCGAACCCCTGACCTCTCTTTGAGAAGTAGGGACTTGATACCACTAGGCCACTGGCCTGTTGGTTTTAATTTATTGATGGAGTGGGGATTCGAACTTGAGCCTTTGGCCACAAGTAACACAGGCAAGAGAGATTTATTGTCATATTGATAACTAGGTACAGGCATTTTTTAAAATAACTATTGAAATACCTATCATTTCTCATAGAAATTTGATATATTTTTAACCATTCGAAAAGAATGACTGACAAGGGAATTCATTGTTATACATTTTTTTGCTTGCCTCTCATCTGACAGTTCGCTTTAGAATTTTCTACCCTCTGTCTTTATTTGTAACCCACAAACCTGTCAATACCAATATAACACAGGCAAGAGAGAGAGAGAGAGAGAGAATAGAAAAAGAAAGATTGAGTGAATGAAAAAAGTGGATATGCTAGAAAAATGACTTTTTCCATCTTGGAGAATAGAAACTATGTTCAATGCTGCTGGTTCTGTGACCATTTTAACTGTCTAAACTTCAACGATCTCCTTTTATTCTCAAATAAGAATTTTTCAGGATGTGACCTTTTGCGCATTTAAGAAATCTATATTGCATATTATTATAGCTACCGTGTTTCATGTTTATTAGTTCAATCAAATATTGTAGTATGCAAAAAAGGAAAAAGAATGAACTTGTTGCAGTATAAGGTTTTTTGCTAGTATTTAATGTCCAATTTTCAATTAAAAATTAACATATGGTTTCACGTGCCATTTTAATTCTGAAATCATTATAATTTATGTTGTTTGTGAAATAATTACGATTATGTGCAGATTAGCAGCCGTAATTTGGACCGGGTGCGTAAATTGAAGAGTGCAATGACAAGGTTGACTAATCGGGTTCAAAAAGTATGCTATCTAGCTATCCACTCCTCACCCACCAACTGCAAACATTAACTTGTATAAGCATGTGGTGGTGCATGCAAAATATTGCTAATCCCTAGATAGATGCTGGGATCCTATACATAAAGGAAAATAGTGTTGGATTTGGGTGTGGCCCTTCTTGACAGAGGTGAATTTATGACAATTGGATATTTGAGCAATTTGTCACATGTTGTCCTAGTTTGTCATGTTAGCCTGTGAATGCAATTTTGTGCCATAATAGAATTTTTGTGAAGGTATTATGGTTACATCAAAGCCTACAACAGATTTTTTGTGGAGAACCCCTAAAAAAGTAAGCTTCCATGCGAGAAAGTCTGCCATTTCTAGTTTTTTTTTTTTTAATAAATAAATAAATACATATATATATATATATATAATTGCCAGCACTGGGCCACAAACTGATGCATGTCTCATGTATATATATGTGTGCGCGCGTCTGTGTAAGGTATAGTTCATGCATAATACATGTCTTAAACTATAAGCATAACAGTTACATCACAGCTGACAATTATAACCCTATTATATGCATGTTCAGAGTATTCTGGTACTGATAGTTCAAGTTTCTCTTTATGAGACTTTAGCTGCATATATTAAATGATATGTTGTTAATATTTTTGGATGATATGGTATGCTGGATAAGGAATTTTGAGCTAATGCATCAACACTGCACTATACAGATCTGAAAATACATTTCCTTTGGACTGACTTCAATCTTTGTTGCTGCATAATCAACTTGACTATCTCAATTATCTTCTCGTATTTTACTTATGCCAATATGCAACGTATAGAAGTGCACACATTAGGGCATTCAAGTGAGTGAAATTTGTAAATTGAGTGACTTTGGTAACTTTGTAGATTTATTTTTCTCAAAAGCACGCTGGTGTGTCCAGGTAAAGGATGAACTCGAGCAACTTCTGGATGATGATGACGACATGGCAGACCTTTATTTATCAAGGAAATTGTTTGGGGTTTCACCTGTCAGCAGTTCTGGTGTTCCCAATTGGTTCCCTATCTCACCTACTATGGGCTCAAAGGTATCCAGAGCAAGTAGGGCAAGTGCGGCAACAATTCATGGGGAAAATGACGTTGACGAACTTGAAATGTTGCTTGAGGTTATAACTATAAATTAATGGTATTTGGTCTTGTAGGATCGGAATTGAATTCTAAGCTTGAGTAATATTTGCAGGCTTATTTTATGCAAATAGGAGGCACTTTGAACAAATTGACCACGGTATGCGCCATATTTAGATTTAAAGCATAAACTTGTGTTTTATATATGGCAATACAAGCAAGGAAATTAACTAGGAGGTATCCATGTTCAGAAGTTAAATTATCTGGAACAAGCAGCATTAAATGGATTTTCTCAAGATAGTTTTATAGCTTAATACTATTTCATGCTGGAAAATTGATTTGAACACTCAATATTCTTTTCTTTCCAGTTGCGGGAATACATTGATGATACAGAGGATTACATTAATATTCAGGTAACCATTTGGATTACCAAATATTGAGCCAAATGTAAAGGAGTTATAATATTGCTTAACGTGAATTTTTTTTCTGTAATATCAATTTTCCGTGGCAATAAAACACTCAGATTATTCTGTAAGGTACTTGGACATGATAATTTATGTTTGATGATCTCGCTTCCCTTGTTGCAGCTGGACAATCATCGAAATCAGCTGATTCAGGTGATCTATATATGGATGCATTCGATATCTAAATAAATTTGTTGCTTTGCCCATTAATATTTCATCATCTGCATCTGTTTTGTTATTAAATTGCTTCTTTTTATTGTTGTTGTGAATTCTTTTTATGTATTTATTTATTTATTTTTGATAAGTAGTTGTTGTGCTTGTGCATTCTTATTATTATTTTTATATGTTAAGTGGATCTGCATTCATTTAGTTCTTATTTATTTTCTTGAATCATCGACTTTCAATGCTCCTATTTTCCCACAGCTGGAGCTATTCCTAAGTTCTGGCACAGTTTGCTTATCTGTATATTCTTTGGTGGCTGCAATATTTGGCATGAATATCCCGTATACATGGAAGGAAGGCCATGGGTATCTATTTAAATGGGTACGTATGTATGTATATACATTAATTTTACATAATTTCTAAGTAGGTCAGGAACTTAGAATATAGATGCATTTAAATGGATGTATACATGCACTTGGTATTTGGCTAAGTCTTTCCCAATACACCTAAAAGATGATGTTTATTACCAAAAATCTGCAGGTGGTCATCCTCGCGGGAATGGTTTGTGGATCCATTTTCTTGTCAATAATTTCATATGCTCGGCATAAGGGGCTTGTTGGATCTTGATGCTAGCTTATTTAATCCATTTGGAGAGAAACACAATGATGATGATTGCATGAAGCAAGCAGTAATTATTTGTTAAAGGTATTTAAGGTTTCATGGCTTCAGGCGATTATATATTAATTACAACTTAGATTTATTTAATTCAGGTGTTAGTATCTGATTTTCTAATAATATATATATATATATATATATATATATATATATATATATGCTTGTATAAGATTGTTATAACGTCAAATAATATATGTAATTTAGTAGAGTAGTTGTTAAAAGGGAAAGGTCCTCCTCCCTCCCTCAATGCTAGTTTTTGGCAATATTTCCTTGAATAAATAAATTACGTAGACTTTTAGTATGTTCAGTGTTGCATAATGGGGATTGTGTTCGTAGCATATGATTTATGTGTTTTGAATTTTGGCAAGATCGCTGTGTTTTTTTATTTTCCGGTAAATAGTTGTTCATTTTGTCTTGAGTTTTTACATTGAGAAGTTGAGAAGATATCAGTTTGATTTTCATTATTCTTCTTAAACATTCCTAGTAAACAGAGTTGAAGTTAACCAAAATGCATGAACCCGGCCACTGTGGAATGTAGGTTCCAGATGTCAAATGCTTGACCTTCTTGTTGTAAGCCCTGGACACGCCTTTTCTTGAAATAAGATTGATTTTTTATTTTATTTTATTTTATTTTATTTTTAAAACACCAGACAGATCTTTAATGCCCTCTTACTTCACCCTCTTTTTTTGACTTCATAAAAATTTCCCAAACAACAAACACGTTTCCTTCGTCTGAACGGAATGAGAATGCCTAATTTACCTCTCCCCTTTTGCCACATAGGAGTAATATATATATATATATATATATATATATATATTTGACTCCAGAAAATTACGATAACTATGGTAATATTCGTAGTCTTCAGTCTTCTTGTAACTTCTTTACTTTAAAATTTTCTTAATGTGGGAGTTTCCAATAAATAAAAAAATAATAGTAATTATGACAATCTATTTGATAAATTCTACGTGAAAAGGTAGAATTTTATTTTAGTGGGGACAATTTCGGATATAAAATGAGTGTTGTCGTTGGGTCCATTGAGAAGGCCGAAAGAGGGAACGATAGGTAAATGATTGAGCTATTCCTTTGCCCCCTGAAAATTGTGTTTTTTGTATTTCTTAAACAATTTCGGATATATATATATATATATATTTAATTTTATAAAGTGCATCTTGAAAATTACCGAAAGTGCCTACCTCAAATTAAATCTTGACTTCCACCTGCATGGCGTGTATAGAATAATACAAAGGCGAAAATAGAGATCTGTTAAATAAGATAGAAATTTCAAGATAGATGATTAAAATATTCAGCCCCTTAAAATAACTCATAACAGAAATAAATTGATGGATTTTGTCCTTCATTATTTTGTATACTTTCTGAGACAAACAATCACAAGGTCTAACATATGTACCTTTTTTTTTATAATAAAAATTAAATCACTATTTGAATAAAAGAACAAGTTACTTGAAAAAATGGGATTTAGGAGACTCCCGACCATATATATATATATAAAAAGAGACTAAATAAGATAAAGAATATATAATCTATTAAAAAAAATTAAAGAAGAGCAATTTTAGAACTACTGAATAAGGTCGTTTGTGACCAATATAATGTTAGAATTACTGAAAATTATATATTTGAAAAATATAAGATCAAAATAAATAGACATTGAGCAAGGGACCAATGCGTCTGCTGGCCCCTGATTACCCTGCCACACTACAGTTAAAACAGTGATATTGTGTTTGATATGATTTTTTTTTTTCAAAATTATTTGATATAATAATTTTAAAAATATATATATTAGTCATTCTAGTGATTGCTTTTATTTTTAAAAAATTTCTCCATCATTTTAGTTGACGCACCCACTCTATCGAATTGCCAATTATTAAAAATGTTTAAGAATATTATTATTTGTCTCATATTTGACAAAAAAAAAAAAAAAAAAAAAAAAAAAGCATTATCTATATAGCTACAAGCCTACAACTCTCAAAAATACTATCTTAGGCACGCCATAAATAACAACACATCAAGCATTTATCTTCCCTTGGCTTGCAGCAAGGGCTAACATGCGCGTGGTCCAGTACCCGGGGCCCGCAAACACTCCGTCGCGTACGCGAGATATCGTGCGCAGGTTTCCCCTAATACACTAGCGGCGCATTTTATCCCTGGACCTTGCTTTATTGAACTCAAGTACTGTTCGGTCAATGACATTTCGAACTAGCCTCTCTCTCGATTTCGACTCCCAAACGGATCATCCGCGACGCTCTTGTCCAAATCCAGCACCAACCCACGTCAGTTCTTCACAAAATCACCCAGACCCATCTCTTAATCTCACTCAATAACTCAATATTTTGTTCACAGATTCAGAGGTATCTTCCACATCGCTATGCATATCTTGTTATTATATATAACGATATATTATTACATATATATGGTATGTATGTGATAGTTGTAGATTTTGTATTTCTGTTTAATGCAGATAAATACTGGGAAATGGACGTAAATTTCATGTGTTGCGGAGTGCTGCTAACATGCACCGTACGGGTACGTGCGTAGAAGTTTGGAGGAGGGCCGAAACTTGAGAGAGAGGATTGGGAGATGTCGAATCTGGTGGTGAAAGTCAAGAGAGAGACGATTGTGGCATGCATGACATGCCCTCTCTGCAACAAGCTCTTTAGAGACGCCACTACCATATCCGAATGTCTTCATACGTGTGAGTCTCTTTCTCTATCAGCTGTCTTATTTTCTTTCTAATGGTTTGAATATTCTTCATTTCACTATATTTTGATCTCAATTATTCGAATTTATGAATGTTTCTGGAAGCCTTTGTATCATATCGCATTCTTTATGATCTGGGTTTCTATTGTTTTGCATCGTCTCATCTGCGTTTGGCTTGGCCTACCTTGTTTGTATGATCTGGGTGTTTCATACTTTTATGCATTTTGGTAACTATTACATATGCATTGATCTGATTAGTCATACAAACTTTAGATTTTTACTTTTCAATATAGTTGGGCAATTAGTCTTATTCACCCCATGTAGGAGCATACAATTACAATAAGGTATAATTTTGGTAATATATAGACCAGAAATTATTTGGAAAAGGAGTTTTTATTGGGGTATTGATGAAAATAAGGTTAATAAAAAGAAATTATAGACCTGCACAAATTTATTGGGATATTAAATTAATATTATGAAGAGAGGGTGGTGATTGGGCAATAAATAGAACTGCACAAATAAGCATATTATGAAACTACGGGCGAGAGTGATTGGGCAATAATTATGACTTGAGATTTAAGTTGAGGAGGTCATCAAATATAAGACATCTACTTCCATTTTTTTTTTTTTTTTATAAATTTGAAGAAATCCTATCATAGGGTCTAAAGATACAAGTTATAACATGGTGAATTTTTAGAAAAAGGAGTGAGTTACAAGTACATATGTCATTATAAAGGGCAGGCTTAATGAAACTATTAACTATAGTATGAACAATTATGGGGCAAACAAGTGAATTTTCAATTATTGTGGTTCATTATATGGATTCAACATTAAGCCCATATCTTTTAGTTTTTGTTATTGTTAGGTCAATAGAACTTAGGTTAACATGTTCCGTAGAACAAAACTATAGTCTGTAGCGTTTGATTTAGTTGCTAGCTTAGTTTAGAAAATTTTCAGAAGTTAGTTTGTGTTAGTTATTACTTCCTTCAATGGAAGAAGGAAATTCATGCTACATTCAAGGGTATTTCGTCTTTAAGGATATAAAGGCAAATTGACACATTGATGTACTCACCAAATTATGGTTCATCCATGCATAATTAGGATATCTAATTGTTACCTTTTAATCTGTTTCGATTTCTTAAATCTTTTAAATTATGCATCAAAGTAAATTTGGAAACTTCTTGAATTGAAAATTTTCCAAGTACAGTATTAAACTGCAGTAGACTTCGATCTATTGAGGGATCAATTCTGAGGTAATTTTGATAAATCTATCGAGTTGTTCAAAAGTTAGTTTTTAATTTGGTTTAAAACTGTACAAACCTTTTAAATTATGCATCAAAATAAATTTGGAAACTTCTTGAATTGAAAATTTTCCAAGTACAGTATTAAACTGCAGTAGACTTCGATCTATTGAGGGATCAATTCTGAGGTAATTTTGATAAATCTATCGGGTTGTTCAAAAGTTAGTTTTTAAGTTGGTTTAAAACTGTACAAACCTTTTAAATTATGCATCAAAATAAATTTGGAAACTTCTTAAATTGAAAATTTTCCAAGTACAGTATTAAACTGCAGTAGACTTAGATCTATTGAGGGATCAATTCAGAGGTAATTTTGATATCGATCGAGTTGTTCAAAAGTAAGTTTTTAAGTTGGTTTAAAACTGTACAAAACTTATTCTCTCTATACTATTATTGTACTGGGGCAGAATATGAAAAAATTCATATACGCAAAGAAATTCATAAAGAGGGCATATTTTGTGAGTTCTAGAGTGTATCCTTGTTTTTGTTTTTGCATTTCATCATTCGAGTGTTGGTGAGTATAAATTCATGTGTGGACATCATTTGCTACTTCAACGAAGAGTTCACCACAATCATTCATTCAAACTTCCATTTTGAAGAATGGACGACTAGTGGCTGTGACCGAAATCACTAGAGAAGTAGATTCGTGAGGATTAGATGCTATTGACGAGGGGATGGACTGCTTGGAGACTTTCGGGGAAAAGTTTGGAGTCTTCTGACTAGGGGATTTTAGGGGTAGTCTATTAATCTAAGTTGTACTTTCTTTCTCACATTGTGAATTTTGATTTGCCTATTTTAGGTCCCGTGGTTTTTTCCCTTGGGGTTTCCACATAAAAATTGTGTCCATTGCTTTGTTATTTATTTGCTTAAAATTGCTATGGATTGATGATTTTTATTATCTATTGTGTTTCGAATTTGAACTTATATTAAGTTAGTTTTAAGTTCAATGGGCTGTTTAGATTCAGTACTTAGTTAGGTCTCGGTCACGAACCTTGTGCGACTCTCCATTAGAGCCTTGGGTTCCGATCCTTACCCCATCAGTTATGGATAAATTAGACAACTTTACTTATAAAAATAATAGTAACACACATTTTGAATGACGTGATATGGTTTGTGTTATTTGTTGATGATTTAGTTATAAAAGTAAAGTAGGAATAAATGTTGAATTAGAGGCCTGAAGAAAACTCTACAATCAAGTGGATTTAAGATAAAGTAGCACTAAAATTGAATACGTGGGATGCAACTTTAGCAATCTAGGAATACAAACAATGATTTATTGCGGCTCAAGGGTCAAGAGATATTAATAAAATAGACAGTTTTGTTATCTAGGTTCAGTTATTTACAGAAAGGTGATGATGTTATAAATTATATAGAAGTAAAAAACAACTATCAGACTAATAATGCTTTATAGGATAGAATGTTGTGCGATTAAGAAGTAACAAGTTCATTAAATGTAACATGCCGGAAGGTTGTTTAGATGGCCGTGTAGCAAGACAAGAAATGATAAAATCAGAAATTATTACATTTTATACGACTGTTTGTTGAAGATAAAATGAGAGAAAACTAAGATGGTTTAGCCACGTGTAATAACTCCAATAACCGAACTAGTTCGGTCGAGTGACATGGTTAATTTTAGGGAAAAGGGAAGACAAAACTAAATGGCTAAACTAAATAATATAATTAATCCCAAATAGGACAACACTTTGTGAGTTGAACTGAGTTGCTGAAGTGTTTGAAATAGTGTTATAAGTAAGCATGAATTATGGTAAAATACTTTAAAGGTTAAGTTTATAATCCCACTCATTATTCTTCCATGATAGCAGTTTCACCTTTGTTAGTGCAGATGCCACTAACACATCGCTTTCCAATACTGTAGGTTTGTTTTTTCATCAGTTTTACTCCTAATTAAGAGGCAAGAGTATAATCATAAATGAACCTCTCTATTACCTTTTAATGCTCATGCGGTACAAAACTACCTTTTCTTTTTTGCTCTTCTCCTTTTATTTTCATCTTTTGGTGAAAAGTGTAAATCACTTTAAAGACTTATTTTCTCATGTTTAATTAAATTTGCTAAAAACATTTTTTACAATTCTATTTTTCCATTAAGTACTCTCTCAACTCTATGGATGAGACATTTTTTAATGGTTTCATCTTTTGAACTTAATCCAGTTTGCAGGAAATGCATATATGAGAAGCTCTCAGATGAGGAATTAGAATGTTGTCCAATATGTAATATCGATTTGGGTTGTGTACCATTGGAGAAGCTGAGGTTTGATATTTGTTCCAACTTGTTGTTTTGCTCTCTCTCTCTCTCTCCCTTTCTTTTTCTTCTTCTTCTTCTTTTAATTTTGTTAAATGTGCTCTAAGTTTCCAAGTCTATATCGTACTAGAGGGAAGCAGTGAGAGAATTAGAGAGATGTGTATGTTACACAATTGACAGCGTCACACATGTGTCAATATATACATCACTTGACTAATAGTTGTTATCTGCATGGCGAGATGTAAGTACAATTTAATTGGTGAATAGTTTTTGAATCCTGTTGATTCCAGAAAAAACAATAATTTGTTCACTTGTCGTTCGTATAGGAATACGGGTAAGATCCAAAATTTGACTGTAATTTTTGTTTCAAAAAATGTGACAGAGCATATATTCATGATATCTGATTACATTGGTTTTGAGGTTAACCATTGGACATTTTTTTATGCCCATGCACGAGTCTGTTTGATTTAGTTATTGAATGGCATATGGTAAATTTGTAATTTTGTTCTATAATTGGCAAGTGCCAATATTTGTATTCCATAAGTAATAGAAGCTGAACACTCATTAGAGCTATTGAGTTTAATGAGAGAAAGTCAAAGAGGATGCTGGTGTCGTGTAGAGTGAACTGGGATGAAGCAAAACAAAACTTCCTAACGAAAATCTCATAAATTTTGTTCAACCACATTATTGGCAACTTTAAGGCTTAATACTGATCCATTTATCATCCATAGACATAGTAAAAGGCTCCTAGACTGATGTTAATAATTAAGATGACAAAATAAAAGTGACATTCTCAAATAAGGTCTTCAAAGTATAATTTGTCGCACATACCATTTCCCACCACTGATAAAGAAAAACAAAAAGAAAATGAGAAAGAAAAAAAAGATACAAATAGGGAATGTGGTCCTACTAAATTCATTTCTCTTCCTAGACATATGTAACCTAAAAAGTAGAAGTTACTAATTTCCTTCTTTTGACCATATGGAACCGGTTGTTTGGTGCTTTATATCACTTGGTTTTACCAATAAGGAAGAGGCTTCACTATAAATTTTCACACCAACTTCCTCCTCAAATTTCTGTTATTTTCCTTACATCAATCACACAGACAATTCATATAACTAAAGAAGAACGGAAAAGCTAGGTACGCATCATTTACTATAGAAGAACGGACAAGATAGGGACTTGAAAACTAGAAAACAAGGTGAGGCAATCGACCATTTTAAACGAGTTTATATTTATTAATACTTATAAAAAAAATTAGGTTATATTTATTAATGCTAGAAATTCATTTCTTTGAACTCTGGGTGCACCTGCAAGAGCACATATAACTGGCAATTGGCTGTGGGAAAATATGGCATTTAGTAGTTCATAATGAAGATTATTAGCTGCATTTAATTGCATTTTCAACAAGTAAGTTTAATGCTTTGTCAATCCTTGTTGATTTTAGTTATTTCTCATTGGTGCTTCGGTTTCCACTCAATGGGAAATTTATGCTTGAAAAGGAAGTCTGTAACTTCTAAGTAGAAACCTGGACATGTAACATGTTGAATTTGGCACTAATGATGAGCAGGGGCGGAGGGACCGTGTGCCTAGGGGGGGGTGTGTGCCCCCCTAGAAAAACAAAAATTAGTACTATTATGTGTATTTTTTTTTTTTTTTTTGAAAGTTCAAATATGCCCCCCCTCAAAAAAATATTTAATGATATATTGATGGTGATTCAGTCATTTACCTATCAAAATATTCAGCAATTTGATCTGCACAGCTGTACTAACTATTTTATACTATAATTTGCAAATGTTTTTCTTGGTATTCAATGGAAATATTATCAAAATATATATTTGGTTCTTATATTTGCCAAGTATTTTAACTGTCCTTTTCAGTTCAAAAAATCAATATTGGCATTGAATGATATTTTTGTTTGCCTTTTGATTTGTAAAAAAAAAAAAAAAAGAAAAATCTGATGTTAGTTGGATTTTTTTGTTTTTCGTCAAATACACTACGCCCACCCTAAAATTCAATCCTAGCTCCGCCCCTGATGATGAGTAATGACTAACTGGCCTACTGGGGTGGTGGAACACATTATTACATAAAGCATGAAGACTATTGGTTTAAAATTTTAAATCCATTTTATATGACTACATTGTATGTATTACTAGTGGTCTGTTGCGATGGTGGAACCCATTATTGTTTCAAGATTGTTGGTGCTATTACATAGCATCCATCCATCTTCTTGCTTTTGCAATGTTATAGGTGGTTTATAGATGAGATTATTAGGTTCTTGCTTCTTGCATTCTGGCTTTTTGATATTGGTTGTTTTGTAGTCAGTACAAGGCACTGTTGGAAGTTCACTTTATTGCTTCCTGTGCACGGGTGTGCACATGCTCGAATTCATGCATGCATGTGAGCCTTCATTCATCTCTAATTCCTGCATTCTCTCTCAGAGCATGTTCATTAAAAATGTGTGGAACTGTGGCGACCTAAGTGGGCGGGTGCCGTGGGCAGGTGCAAGAGGCATTGGTAGGCTACCACACTGGGCAAGCTACATATGCACAATCCCACATCGCCTGGATGTGGAAAGGGGAAGTCCTATATATGTAGGATTTGTACACTTCAATTGGTATGAGGCATTTTGGGGTAAAACTCAAGAACAAAACCTTGTGGATTGGGGCCAAAACAGATAATATCATACCATGTGGTGGAGTGGGTCGTTACAAATGGTATTAGAGCCTGACCCAACCGGAAGTGTGGTCAACGAGAGAGTTGGGCCCCTAAAAGGGGGTGTTTGTGGCGACCTATGTGGGGGGTGTGCCGTGGGTGGGTGCAAGAGGCACTGGCAAGCTACCACACTAAGCGAGCTACAAGTGCACAATCCCACATCGCCTGGGTGTGGAAAGGGGTAGGATTTGTACACCGGGTAAAACCCAAGAACAAAACCGTGCGTGCTCGGGCCCAAAGTGGGCAATATCATACCATATGGTGGAGTGAGTCATTACAGAAACATACTATTTTCCTCATTTTATAGCGTGCATGCACATGCACTCATTATGTTTATGAAGTATGTGTTTGGTAAAAATAGAGGCTTCATTAAATTGTATTCATTAATTTTTTGTTTTCAGGCCAGACCACAATTTGCAAGATGTAAGAGCAAAGATCTTCCCTTACAAAAGAAGAAAGGTTAAGGCACCTGAAGTTGCATCTTCAGTTTCATTACCAGTGAGGAGAAAAGAGAGATCACTCTCATCACTAGTGGTGAGCACTCCCAGAGTATCAACACAGACTGCCATGACTGGAAGAAGATCAAAAGCTGTTGCAAGAAAGGTATCCGCTTTACGAAGTCCCAGTTTTTCCATTGAGAAACCGGCTATTAAAGAGGAATATTCTGTAGAAGATTGTCTAAAGAGCTCTAGCTCACTCGAGACTATGAACAAATTCACTCAGAATATAAGGCAGGTAAAGGGGCCAATTATGTTGTTTTATGGTGACTGCAATGTTACTACATCATTAGGCTTCCAGTACAATTTTGATGGCTGCTAACCTTAAATTATTGTTGCCTGTGTTTCTTATACTTCTAGTTTTCATGCTAAATTACTTAAGTGGTGCAGAATTCTTCCACTGCTGAACCATCTGGCCATGCTGGGCCTGAGAAAGAAATGGAGAGTGTTGCTGAACCATGGGAAGGGAAAGTCGATCTCTGGAAACCTTTAAATTATTTGGTGGAAGTTGCAAACAGGAGCAAGTCTTCGAAGTATAATTCACAAGGGCCTGCTGCTAAATCAGAACTTCTACATGCCCCTGAAAGTGAAGAACATGTTCGTAAAAGTAAAGCTAAGGAACATGGGCACAAATCAAAAGTCCAAGCCGAAAAAAATATTACCAATCCTGTATCTCCAGATTCAGTGAAACCTAAAAAGTTGCGTCGGATTCGCCGAAAGAGGGCGACTGCTTTTGGAGAACTTGGCATTTCACTCCAAGCTGTGGTGGATGCTGCCACTGGAAAACAAGAAAAAAGAATCGGTCCAATTTGGTTCTCGCTAGTGGCTTCGGAAGACCAGTGAGAATCTACTTTAAGTTTTAAAATTTTAAGGATTCTTTTTTAGGGAAATTTATTTAGTTACCAATTACTTTTGCCCATGTTCAGTTTATGAGTTCCATAATGTGGTTTCAGGGAAGGAGATGTACCCTTGCCCCAGATATCTGCAGGTTACTTGAGAATAAAGTGAGTTCCTATTAAACTTCATTAATTTTGTTACTGTTCCAAATTTTTATTTATATATTTATTCATTTTTATGTGGTCCTTTCGCTTTCTAAATTTTCAATTGTGGTAGTGTCACTAAATAATATACTCCGTATATCATAATGAATTAGATATGACTTCATAAAAGCTTCTATAGTTCAATACTATTTCATATTTTTTATGATTGTTATTTTGTTATTAGGGTGTCATGTGGATTCTTTTCCAAGGTTAAATAGTTTTTCATATTTAGTTTCTGTAAAGGGTAAAGAATTGGCACCTTATTGTGTCCATTCATTAGTCAGTAAGTTCTAGTGCTATCATCCATAGCATGCAGGAGATAATCTTCTCCAGGGAAAAAAATGTTATTTCTTCTATGCATATTATATTGTCATATTTGTTATATGAAGCATTCATAAGATAAAGCATTAGGGCATAACTAGTACCTATGAGGAAATGATAGAAAATAAGTGCACATTCTTTGTGGTATTGCTATTCTTTGAGTTTGTTAGACATACTAGGGAATGCATCTCACAAGTTCCTGGACAAATTAACATTATCGTTTCTTGTACAAATTTGCAGTTGTGATTGTTTCCCTTCTGGACTACTAACTCCATAAATCATATATCATGAACTCGGTTTGATAAGTCTAATTTTTTTCTTAAATGACTCTATCAGGATACCTATTTTTACTTTAAGAAAATATCAATGGCATTTTCTCCCAAATCTATTTTATGGTCTGTCGTTTTTGCTTATGTTTGCCACAGATCTGTTCAATTTCTCAAACATATCAGCACTGAAGTTGAATCCCCTTAGACACACAATCATAAATTTGATTGGTCTTAATTAATGGATTTGAATCCTAATAGAGTTCATAAGCTGTACCCACTTCTACTTGCTTAGTAACATGAATTAGGTACTGAGGTTCAACTGGAAAAAATTTAGTGCATGTCAACCTGAGGGATCTTGAAAAATTGTATCCAACAGAAACATCCCACAAAGCTGTCTGAGGAAGTAACTTTTGGCATGCTTAGATACACCAGGAAAAGGAATCTCTGGAAAATAAACTAGTTCCTCTAGTAGGTTGCAAATTTCTGATCTAAACTTCTAGATTTCATTTTTCTGTTTGAAGTCATTGTTCTTTGTTGGACTGAACTTCTATTACAAATGCAGGCATCCTTTTGATGCCTTGAGTGCCAACCAAGCTCATGCTTACGGATACATTTGTATGCCTTTCTTCGCTCCGGTCTGTTCTTGTACTTGATTTTAGTTTCTTAATTTTGCACAAAAAATGCCATTACAGCATCATCTTTATTTGTTCACGACTTCATTCTTTTAGCTAAAATGATAGGAAGGCTATATCTCTAGCATCCAGTCATGGTATTTCCTTACTCTGGTGTATTCTTGTACCTGTTTTTAGTTTCTTAATGTTGCACAAAAAATGCCATCACCAGCATCATCTTTATTTGTTCCCCACTTCACTCTTTTGCTAAAATGAGAGAGGCTGTATCCCTAGCGTCCAGTTGTTGACTACCTCCTCAACATGTGTGTTATCTCAGTGTTGATTAAGTCTTCAAAATGGGGAAAAATTATTTCTATGCTCCATTTATTTATTTATATTGGGTCCATTGGGAATGGTGAGCCACCCGTTGAGTAGCCCTCGTCCTACTCATAAGCCCTCCCAACCTGGGTAAGGGTGGGATTTAATTATAGGTCTCTACTTTTGCTACCTAGAGACATTACCAGTTAGGCTAGCTGAAACCTTCAACTGCAATCAAAATTGTAGTAGAAGTACAATGGTTTTGGTCATTTGGGCAGTAAATTTCACTTTGTGGTTTGAAACCCTACCTTCTCTTTTTTGCCACAAAGTAATAATGTCTTTTCCACCAATGGATGGGTCTTCCTTCATGTAGCACAACTTGTTACGGGCATGTTGGTCCTCAATGCATTTGCTTCAATGTTTTAGTTATCGCATTGAATGGTGAATTACGGGTGATGCAACAAGGAAGAGGAGTGCAGTTTTTTTGTTGAAGGAATATCATCACTTCTCTAACATTGGTACGATGGGTCAATATATATGCATATGGTATGAACTCGTGTCTTCTCTGTCGCCCCAAATTAATAATGTCTTATAAGCAGGACAAGTTATTACAGGATGCTTGTCTTAAATGCATGCATTTTTTGCTGTTCCAATTATCTTCATTAAATGAACTATGGAGGAGGAGGGAAAGGAGAATAGTCATGCTGTTGAATGATCATCGCTGGTTTCTAATTTCTGTATCTTGTGTCATTTTATTTGCATAATATAAAAAGAATGAGGTGTTTTAATTCTGTGGTTTCCTTCCAGTCTTGTGGAAACCCACATCCTTCAGATTTTTAAGGACAAGTTTTTCTTTCTGCCACAAATAAAGAAATCTTCATGGGCTGCACAAATAGTTTCTAAAGCTCTTTCTATGTTTTATTTACCCAAAACGAAGTACAGCGAAAAGGTGTAGCAAATATTAGCTGAAAATAAACTGGTGGTAAATGTATGAAAAGCCTTTTCAGTTTGCAATGAGAATTTTGTTGTTCAAAAGGCTATCAAACACATGCCATAGAATTTTATTGGTTGGTAGTAAAACAGCATTTTTTTTTTTTAATGAGGTAAAACAGCATTTAGTGGTTGGCTTATATGTTTAATATCACTTTCATTTGATGGTTTCTTTATTTAATAACGGAGGTTTCAACCACCAAGTTCTTAGCCCAAGTGGTATCTCCTCCTCCTTCAAATGGAAGGTTGAGGGTTTGAGTCCCCAGTGGGACAAAATTGGGTGCGTGTGATTTACGTACCGGAAAAATATATATATATATTGGAGGTTTCACCTGAACCATAACCCTTTTTGGCCTATGTTCTTATTAAGTGTGGCTCTGCTTATGGGAATCTTTCTAGTAGTGGTTATACTTTTAATTTCGTTGAGAAATGTCTTCACTATTGAGACTTCTCTTTAGCTACAGAAGATGAGATTCTGAAGTTCTGCTCAGCTGCCAACTCAAGTTTTAATGGGTACGAGTTTCTCTTTGCTTGCGTGTCTAGGCTGCTTTTACATAGTCACAAATGATACTTGTTGGGCACTAATAGATCATTTTGATTTAAGGTGAAAGAAGTCGGTTATTAGTTATTACATTACTAGTGATTTTCACCTGGACTGCATTCTGAGTTTTAATAATGCACTTCTCTGCTCTCCCTGATTGACAATTGTATCAGTAGCATGAAAGTAATTTTTACAATCAACAATCCCTCTTTGTTTAATTCGAATTTCTCTACAAATGTTAGTCTGATAAATAACTGCATCAAGCCTATTTCTACTTAGGTATTTTCTCATGCATGTATTTTTGGTTTTGATGCTAATGTTGCTTGAAATGTTGTTTTTTTTAGAATTTCAAATGGTGAAATTTTTTCTTATCGACTTCAAAGGAAAGATCCTTTAATTGCCAGGAGATTCTTTGTCATATTTATGTCATTCTGTCACAGGGATGGGAATGTACCTGTTTCTTTTATACAAAAGTACCTGATGAGAAAATTAAATCTTACAAGTGAAGATGAGGTAAGTGATTCATCCTTGTCAAGTCTCTAATTAGTATACTATTTTTTGTTAATTTATCATGATCAATATGTTGTTCTCAAAAACAAAATGAACCAACATTTGTTTAGTTTCTGGACTGAATCTAAAACTATCTCGTCTTCTTGCTTTCCTAGAAGCCTGTCTCACAACTTGGACAGGTTTTATGGAAATCTTGTAACATTAATGGTTGTTATGAGATCAATTTTATTTTTCTACATATAAAGAGTGGTTAGGACACACCCACCAATTACTAACACATTCAGAATTATATACAGTCAATATATTTTTCACATTTAATTACGAGCACAATATTAAAAATTAATAAACAGCCAAATTGATAGATTGCATTTAATTAAAACAATTTTTAAGAATTAAATTTAAGAAAAGACATGGTATACAATAGGAAGGAATGGAAAAAGAGAATTCATGTGGCCTAGTCACCAACCCCATCCATATAGAGGATAAAGGCAAGGATGATGCTGATTAATGAATTTAATCAAAATATATGCAAATTGGTAGCAATATCTCAGGCCCTTCAAATGGTGGGTGTTATCTCAAACAAATTGCCCCTCCCAACTTGCCAATACCTGAGAATGTTGCACGCATTGGAAGGAAATTTAAATACCCTTGAATCCATCTTTCAGAAACAACTATGATCACATCTCTTATAAAAAAAATAGTAACTGAAATCATTCTTGAGACTGCTAACCTTGAACAGTTTGAAGTTGGAGAATTAGATTGTGTCTACTCCATCATGAGAGCCTGGTTGCCAAAAAATTGCTGCCTGCCTTTGATGTTTTCTAGAAAAACATTGAGGGAGAAACTATGGACTTGCACTTGCTTGATTCATTTTTCTATGAACAGTTTTCTGTTTCGTGAGAACTGAGAATCATAAAACTGTACAAAAATTTGTTTGGTTGACAGATTCTGAAAACTCAGTTAAAAAAAAAGATTTGTTTTTAAATAAACTATCTTTTGTAGTTTTCTGAGTTCTTGAGAATGCTTTTTGGAAAATTGAACCAAGAAAACCCTTTATATATCTTCCTATGTTAGATTCTTGGTGTCTCAAAATCTTTAAATGCAATGGACAAATGTTGTCTGGGTATATCTTCCTACAGACGGGTTCGCACCCTAGTTCTACGTCCGGCTGGTGATTGTTCAGTTGATTTTTTTACAGGTTGAGATCAGATGCATGGGTCAATCGGTGTTGCCAACATTGCAACTGAATAATTTAGTTGATTTGTGGCTAAAAACTGCATCAACGACAGAAAAAATACCGGCAACAATTGGCTCCTCAGCAAAGGAATTTGTGATGGTGTTAGCGTATGCCCGCAAGGTTCCGGCCCCTTAAACATGCTTCATTCCATTCTTTTATGCTTCCTCACATCTTCAATAATCTATATCCTCTGGATTTCATTAGTGTAGTAGTAACACTTTCTGATTCAGCAGGAATCTCTTTTGGGCATGCCTTTGCATAATGCTGTTGCTTGAAACTACTGCAATCGCCATGTTGGAAATCACAGTACATTGTAGTAATTGGGTTCACAGCAGCGTTGTCTAATGTCTACACCTTAGTGTGGCATTCTGTGATTGGTAAAGAGTTGGCTATTTGTAATTGTTGTTGAGATGTCAATTACTTAAATGCATAGGTGTGTTTTGTAATTTTATACCTTGATTGCACATGACCATGTGCTACGAGGTGAACTTTCACTATATACCTTATTATTACAACCATAAAAGTAAAACTCGTGTAGTGTCCACTAATCTGAAAAAGAAGCATTCTTGAGCTCTTCTTGCAACGCCCTCAAATCCTCAATTATTGCCATTGTGGTCGTTGAGTCCACCCTGGCTACCTAGGGTGACAAACCTGAATATATTCGGACTATACATTTGGCGTGGCACCGAATCAAGGATTGAGTTAGTTTTGATGCCAATTGTAACGAATCGAGTGCTTCACGATCCGACACAAAAAATTAAATTATTAGATAAGACTGACACCTAATTCATTTATACTCATTTTACTTTCAATCCGGATTCGATGTGAAACAACTTGCGACAATGAGTCATATTAATGAGAAATAAAACTTTAAAAAATTAAATTTATTTTAAAATATTATTTGACAAAAGTTTTATGTGGATATATTAAAGAACCAAAACAGGAAAATTTGATTTCTTTTTCCTTTGTTTGGTAACCGGTTTTGGATAACACGGGTCCCAACAGGTGCAATGTGAAACATACCACAGCGGTGTGTCACGGGCCTAGAGATTTGGCGCAGCGGCACGGCCCGTGCGGCACCAAGGCGTTGCTTCATCTCGCGCAAGCGCCCTGATCAGCCACCACGACCTGCCCTCCCAAGGATACATGCTGACTGGTTTCGGCCTGCCATGGCCTCGTCAGGGGAACGGCTCCAGCTCCCGACCAGTTTGTGCAGGGATGGCCAACTCCCTTCTTCATAGTCAAGTCCACGACCAGCGACAAGCACCTCGAACTGAACCGAGTCGACCTGCCTGAACTCTGAAGAGGTACCATCCTGTGCTCCTGCACGCCCTTTCCCTGGAACCATTCCCAGTCAAACTCTGCTCTTTGCCAACCAGCATGCGTGTCTTCCATCCTCCAAGCGTCTTAGGAATCACTTCGTGACATTCTCCCCCACCCAAATCCTGCGACGTCCTCGTCGCAGTGCGGCGCTTCACTACTGCGTCCACTCCCTTCCAAAGTCTGCCTCCATGCGGTATGCTCGCCTTCCCACCATCGCTTCCTTGTGCAGCTCCCTGCACTGCACTCGCCCAATGACAGGCCTCGGACCAAGGGGACGTCCACTCCTCAAGGACGTGACTCTTCTCCGTCATGCCGCCTCCGCGACATCCCGAGCAAGCAATGGCCTTCTGCCGACTTGATGCTCGCCCTTCACCATGGTTTGCATCACCCAAGGACTAAGCACGAACTTTGGTGCGCGCGGCCCTCCGGCCCTTCAATGCGCAACTTCAACGGACGCCTCTTCCTGGGGAGATGGAGGCTCTCCCCCCCAACTGCATTGATTCCTCCACATCGACGCAACTTCAATGCACCGTCTTCATTCTCTGACCCCTCCCGGACCGACAAGGGGGCACCCCACCGTGCTTTACCCCAAGTCCTGCTCTGATACCATTTGTCACGGGCCTAGAGATTTGGCGCAGCGGCACGGCCCGTGCGGCACCAAGGCGTTGCTTCATCTCGCGCAAGCGCCCTGGTCAGCCACCACGACCTGCCCTCCCAAGGATACATGCTGACTGGTTTCGGCCTGCCATGGCCTCGTCAGGGGAACGGCTCCAGCTCCCGACCAGTTTGTGCAGGGATGGCCAACTCCCTTCTTCATAGTCAAGTCCACGACCAGCGACAAGCACCTCGAACTGAACCGAGTCGACCTGCCTGAACTCTGAAGAGGTACCATCCTGTGCTCCTGCACGCCCTTTCCCTGGAACCATTCCCAGTCAAACTCTGCTCTTTGCCAACCAGCATGCGTGTCTTCCATCCTCCAAGCGTCTTAGGAATCACTTCGTGACAGGTGGGTGAAATTTGAAAATTAGGAAAATTATTGAAAATTCTCGAGAGAACGGCGTTGTATTGTATCGTTTCTATTTTCCTTGTATAACCCTGCAGACAGACCACACTGCTCAGCAAATTCAGAAACGACTCCTGATGTTAGGTTATTTTTTAGGGTTAATTTCACCTAGACCCCCTAAGGTTGGCGCATATTTCACCTAGATGAAGATTTGGTTTTTAATGACCACTTAGACCCCAATTTGTGAGTTTGTATTTCACTTACACCCCAAATGTCAATTTGTAGTACTTTTTAGGTATAAAATGACAATTTTACCCTTTTGACCATATGTTGACTTAAAAAAAGTGTATTTCAAATTTTTCATGACAAAAATACCCTTCAAGTTTTTCATCACAAAAATACCCCCAAATGAGCTTACCACAGTTGCCTTTGCTATAAATTTTTTTTTTCTCCACAATGACCATTGCTAATAAAAAAGTAAATTTCAAAATTTTCACTCTTATTTCTTTCTTAATTTATTAATTGCCAAAAAAGTGAATTTAAAAAAGTAAATTTCAAATTTTTCACTCTTATTTCTTTCTTAATTTATTAATTGCCAAAAAAGTGAATTTCAAAATTTTCAGTCCTATTTCTTTCTTAATTACTTGAATATTAACATGTAAAACACCTGTTAAAAAAAAAAGCCCGTTTCTTTTTTTAAAAAGCCTTTAAAGCAACTGTTACAATCATGTAAAGTAATTAGTCAACAAATTTTAATTTAAATTTAAAACCTGTAAAAGAATTGTAATTTTTTTAAGCCTCTAAAAATCAGATGCTGATACAGTCCAATTGCATATACTGCTACTGCAGATTTTTTTTTAAACCTCTAAATCAGAACCTGTTAGAAGATTGCAAAATTAGATGCTGATACAATCCAATTGCATATACTGCTGCTGCAAATTTTTTTTTAAACCTCTAAATCAGAACCTGTTAGAGGATTGCAAAATTTTAAAACCTGTTACATTCCTAAAATATATCAATACCTATTAAAGTTTCAAAATATATCAATACATTCCCAACATAAAGTCTCAAAATACATCAATACACTCCCAACTTAAAGTACAGAATATCATAAATACCAAATACCAAACTTAATGTACTAAATAACTGCCACAAATAGAAAATGCCATCAAATTCATTCCATCTCAATGGTGTTAAGCTCCTACTTCCTGCTGGTGCAACATGAAGGCTGAAATGAAACAAAAATATTTATTACAATACAATTATATTCCTGAGAGCTTTGTGTTTTGTTGTTATTAGGATCAATAAATGAATTACATACCTGAGAGCCTTGTGTTGATGTGGCTTGAGTTGCTCTTGTTGCTGCTGCCCTACCGGAAACCTAATATGAAAATTGAAATGAAGAAATCTTTATTGAAATGTGAAAAAAAAAAGAAAAAAAAATTGAAATGAAGAAATCTTTATTCAATGAATTTAGTACCTCAGAGCCTTGTGTTGCTGCTGTTACTGCTCTATTCCTTTTTGATCTTTTTGGTGGATGTCTTCTTCCTCCTACTTTTGGGCCTGCTATTGCTGATGATGATGATGGGCCTAATGATGCTGCTCTTGCCTATTTTGCAGTAGGAACTTTTTGACATCCCCTCTTGTTGTGTCCAAAATGTCCACATACACTGCACCGCACAATAGTTGACCTTTTCTTTGCTTCTGCTTCACCATCCTCCCTCTTCCTTGACACTCTTGGTCTACCACAGGGTCTTTTGAGCTTTGGTGGATCCAATTCAGGTTTGTCAACCTCAGTCCACATACTTTCATCGTGCATGGGGTGGATGAAAGGAGTGTAAGTCTTTGTATATGTATCCTTATTGTAGAAATCTGAACATAACTTCTCAATATCCACCCTTGTGGTAGTAATGGCTGCACATGCATGCATACAAGGAACTCCACTCACCTGCCATTCCCTACAACAAGAAGTCCTCTCCCCAAACATAACAATATAACTCTTCAGTTTTGCATTATCAGTTACCTCATACACACCTTCAGCGGGCCATGTCAATTCACATGTACCAGCTTTGGATATATTGGAGTTTAATCTTTTCTTAATTTTTGGCACTACCGTGGTTGTCCAATCTGCTGTCCTTCGAAACCTTTTGTTGAATTTGGACATCACCTTTGTTCTTATACATTCAAAAACAGCAGTGATTGGTTTTGCTCTAACATTCTCAAGCCAAGAATTAAATGACTCCACATGATTATTGGTGACATAGTCACATTTCACCCTATCATCAAATTTGTGTCTTGTCCATGTCTCCAAAGGATGCTCCATCAACCAAATTGAGGCATCCTGACTAATTAACTCAATCTGCCTCATTGCAATTTTGAAATCTTCTTCATTATATGCATTTACAGCTTCCCAGAATAGTTTCTTGTACTTCACACCTGGCCACCGTGTCCTAAAGTTAGCATATATATGCCTGCAACATCTTCTAGTTATTGCTTGTGGAAAAATTTCAGAGAGAGCAGTTAAAATGCCCTTTTGACCATCTGACATAAAAGTCCATGGTATATTAGTTGTTGTTGTATCACCTAGGAATTTATGCAAGTGATCCAGAAACCATTTCCAACTGTCTTTAGTTTCAGACTCAACTACAGCTACTACAAATGGATATAATCCATTATTCCCATCAAGTCCTATTGCACTCATCAAAATACCCCCAAATGGCCCCTTCAAAAAACAACCATCAATACCAATAAATGGTCTGCAACCATTAATAAAACCATTTTGACATGCTGCAAATGATAAAAAAAAGTCTCTTGAACTTGGGAGGGTCATCTATACTTGGTTTTATAAAAATTAAACTCCCAGGATTAGTTTTAACTACCTCAGCTACATTTTTCCACAGCTTTTTATATGAAGTAGAATGGTTCCCTAGAATCTGATCTCTTGCTATATTTCTAGCCCTCCAACAAGCACTAGTACTTACAATTGCAAGAAGTTTTTCTCTAACTTCTTCTTTCACATATTTGACATTAATTTCAGGATTCCTTTTAAACTTCTCCATAAGCTTTTTTGCTATAAAAGGTGCAGTCACACTCTTGAGCTTACTTATTCTGATGCAAGTGTGCTCTGGGCCTACAGACTTCACCTTATATGTCAACTGATCAGCCAATATAGTTGCATGAATTCTCCAACTGCAGCCTTGGTTAGCACAGTGACAAGTAATTCTACCGGTCTCATTTTTTTCCCTAACAAGGTTAAAACCTTTTTGGACTGAATACTCCACCAAAACCTCTCTGAAATGGCGGATGTCATCAAAAATATGGCCCTTCTCAAATTCAATTTTTCCCCCTTCAGCATATTTGAACAACTTCCCCTTCAATGATTTATATAAATAATCCACGGTCCTTGTTTGCTTTTTTCCTTTCCCTTTCGTTACATTACTCTCTATTTCATCCTCACTTTCTCCAGTCAAATCTTGATTCTCACTGTAATTAGATAACCCATCACTGCTCACATCTGGAATTTCATTTTCCAAGCCAATGTTTTGAAGATTATGATCTCCCAAATTCTCAACTCCTTCATGAACACCAGTCCAATCTTCATCATCACTATCACAAAAACTATACTCAGATCCACCAACATCATTCGCACTGTTCTCTTCTTCACTCATCTCTTCACCGACATTTCCTTCTTCACTGACCTCTTCACTAACATTCTCTTCTTGCCTCACCACTACTTCTATCACCTCATCAACATCATGAAATATGTCATATGCCATTTCAAACTTGAATAACACACAACAAAAATGAAATGAAATGCAAAATCAGAGAACTCACAAGACAAAAAAAAAAAAATCAAATATATATATAGAAAAGAATCGAAATGGTGAGACATTGAAGCCCCAGTAAATTGTAGACACACTTAACTCGAATTCAGTGACTATCTGCTGTTTTTTGCAGAGACATGACCAGTAAGCTGCCATGACAAGACCCCTTTCTCTCTCTCTTCTCTCTCTAAATAGTTTCTACAATATAAGAGGAGAACAGCGAGACAGAAACATAGGGTTTGATTAGGATCGTACTTGAAATTAAGGTTCTTCAACGAATGGCCTCTGAAAATTAGGGTTTGATCTACCACAGTGAATTACTTGGTTTCGCCTTAAAATTTGGTCACGAGAATCTACTCAGGAGCTTCGGCAAAGAGGATCTCTTGAACGGGCGGCCTCTGTAGGAGAATCACTGAGATTTCAGAAAAGCGGCGAAACCATCTCTCGAACGGGCGGCCTCTGTAGGAGAATCACTGAGATTTCAGAAAAGCGGCGAAACCTCCTCGTACGGGCGGAAGCTACATCATTAAGGTTGATGGCGAGATGGAACGGCGGCGGAGGCTAGGTTTGGTTCGGAGATATGGGTGTTGGGTGTTAGATGCAGAGACGATTGAGGGTGTTAGATGCAGAGGAGAGTGTGGTTTTGTGTTTGCCGTTTGGTTCGCCTATTTTGGGTTTTTTTGTGTACAATGTCATTAGGTGTACAATGTCAGGGTAGTTTTGCCTTTTAAAATTATAAATTTTTTGGTATTAAATTGTATTAAAAATTTGAGGGTAAATAGGTCAATTCCCTTGTGTCAAAGTCCAAAAAACAAATTGGGGTCTAAGTGGTCGCTAAAAAACAAATCTTCATCTAGGTGAAATATGCGCCAACCTCAGGGGGTCTAAGTGAAATTAACCCTATTTTTTAACTAGATGAGAATTTAGATTTCACTTATATTTGAATCAGTGTTTAACATTTCACTTACATTCCAAATGTCAATTTTTGGTGAGGTCATAATACTTTTGAAGTGTTAAATGACTATGTTACCCTTTGACCTTCCGTTAACTATTTTTGTGACCAAAATACCCCAAACATACACCTTCATCTTCTTCCTCCATATACCATCATCATTCCCAATTCCCGCCGGACAAAACCACCGCACCACTCCTCAGAATTACACATATATATATCTATATAGAAACATATATTTATATATATACACACACACACACACACACACAAATAGTAAATATATAGATATATACACAAAAAATTATTAACATATATAGAATAATAGATATATACACACATACAAAACAGACGGGAGCCAGTCGGCCCGATCGATGATGAGGATTTGGGTTGTGGATTGGAGGTGGCGGTGGCTAGGCGAGGTCAAAGAGGTGTAGGTGGCGACACTCAACTCGCCGACCTCCCAACCCTATTTAATTTGCCTCCCAGCCGACGTCGATCTCAAGACCTAACACCACTGACGCCACTCCTCCACCGAGAAGAAGCACAGTGCCTGAAATACCCAAATCCTATCTATCACCGATTCGATTTGCCGTTTTGACAGGCTTGAAATACCTCTTGTCAATCACTATATGATCCTTCCAATTCAACCCAACGTACCCAAACGCCACTTCGTTGCCACCACGTAGTAGTCGAGGCTCTCCTGCTGTAGCATCATCCACATCGCCTCCAGAAGCTTGGCTTCTCCAGGCCTACTCACTGCCATCACCTTCCTAGCCGTGCACATCCATCATTGTCATCAATCATCGCTGCCATAACACCGCGAGCCGCCGACTTCATCATGGCTGAGTTCAGTCCAGCCAATTCCACCGCCCTTGCTCATAACCGCCGTGAGATCTCGTTGGCCCCCCGCCCATCGCCGGATCCATCGCCGCCAGTGGGTTCTTCTCCATCCACCGATCTTCTTCTTCAAGGCTAAGTTTCAAACCAGCATCCTCTTCGCCCACCTCCGCCGCTAACCACCAACCGAGCCTATCTCCTCCGCCGTCCACGGCCGAGTCCGTCTCCACCGGCGTCCACGGCCGAGCCCGTCTACACCGGCTGAACCAGACCGTCGTTGCATCACCATCAGTCCAGCCGAGCTTCATCACAGTCAAAGCCACCGCTGAACCAATCGAGCTTCATCACCGAAATGGGAGAGCAGCGTCGGCGGGCGGATACGATAGTGTAGAGGAGACCTGAGAGGACGCCGGCGTTGATTTCGTCGGATCTCCGCAACTCTGATTCGCCGGAGGTCTTAAGGGTGGGGCGGCAGTTGAATATATATATATGGGTCTTTTTGTCATTTAAGATTATATATATTTTATATTAAAAAAATTAAGGATAAAATGGTCAATTTACATGTGTCAGATGCTAGGTAAATTAGAGAGTAAGTGAAAGTTAAAACCAAAAAAATAACCTAATTTTAGGGGTGTCTGAGTGAAATTTACCCATTTTTTTTTTTACTCATCGATCTGCAAACTAGGGTTTCTAATCTCTCTCCTGCTACTCCATCTTCATCAAAACCTAATCGAAATCTCAGAATAGGTTAGGGTTAAAATTTATTCTTTCCTCATCCTCAACTTCCGTCGCCGGAAATGCACCCTCGCGGCGGAACCTCGACCCAATTCTTCTTCGCCGCGCGTCGCCCGTGGCGGGAGTTCCTCGCCCACCCATCTTCATTTTCTTTTCCGTTCTCCTTCGGGGAAGCCAAAGGTCGCATGAAACGAAACCTCAGTTACTTCCGCGTCAACTACGCAATGATCATGTTGTTCATACTGTCTCTAAGCCTTTTGTGGCACCCCACCTCGCTGATCGTGTTCCTGATCGTGTTCGTCGCTTGGTTCTTCCTTTACTTCTTCCGCGACGAGCCTCTGGTCCTCTTGAATCGGACGGTAAACGATCGGTTTGTGTTAATCGTGCTTGGTGTGATTACAATTGTTGCGTTGGTTTTGACTAATGTGTGGTTGAATGTATTGGTTTCAATTTTGATTGGAACCGTCATAATTGGTTTGCACGGCGCGTTTAGGGTTACTGAGGATTTATTTCTCGATGAGGAAGAAGCCGCTGACGGTGGCTTGGTTTCGGTTGTCGGTAGTCCCCCGCGAGTAGCCCCTTATACTCGCATTTGAATAGCTTCATGAGGTTTGATTCCTGCAATCAGGTCAGATCAGATCAGATCACAGTTGATTGTATTCTTTGATAGTGTTGGGTCAGTATCCATATTTTTAATTGTAAATTTTGTATTGCATATGGTCGTCATCTTATTCAAGTGTAATTATTCAAGAAAGGAATTACAATGTTTTGCATATTATATGAACTCTGCTCTTTTGAGTGTATATTGAACTTGATTTCAAAGGATTAGTTTTTATTTTTCCAATGATGTGCCTTATTTGTGTTGTTGGTTGCTGTTATTATTTGTTTTAGTTCACCAACTGTTTGTTAATATGATCTAGCTTGCCCTGAAGTTATCATAGTTTTCATTCGATTTGACCATTAAGTCTAGTAGCAAAGATCTAGAAGATCTGATGAAACAATCTTTTCTGGTGGAATTGTATGTTAGAAATTAAGAATCAATGTTTTCCTAGAGTTAATGGCGAAGATTTGTCACGTAGTAGCTATTGCTTGGTGTAGTAGTGGTAATAATTCGAGATGGCAAGTGTGAAAAAGTGGGCTTTTGAGTCTGTCATGGTTTGAATATGAAGGCAGCTAATAAGTGCAAAGGTTTAACAGGAGAATGGCTATCACATACATGTTAGGTTTCCAGTCATTCGATGCAGTATTGATTTAGGTGTTTGGCTATCTATATAGATATAGATTTCTAAGTGGAGGTAGAACATGGATCTTCCATAGGGTAGCACAGGAAACCATCATCATGAAACACCAGTTATATTAAATATGTTGTAGGAGTAGAAGACATTGTTTATTTCAGATGAGTGCGGCAAAAGGTTGGCTGCTTAGTTCTCGTTAGTTTCTACAGGAATAATTTTCTTATTTTTTCAGCTATGAAACTGTAATCATGTAACTAGGAGATGAACCAGAAACAGCTCCCTCCTTCCCGGATGTCGAACTTTCTACTCCTCTAGAACTGGCAGAAATGGAAGAGAGATATTTGTTCTAATTTATGGTTCCCACTGAGATTTTACTTAAATTAACCACATTTTGACTGACACATTGTTTTGATCAAGGACTTTATGTTTATGGGGGAGAGAGTGGAATTGTCAAGCAATTTGATCTACTGATTTCCATCTGACAGATTGATGATGCCTTGATGCAACTGTATACAATCAACAGATTTATGTAATGGGAACATTATGGCTATGAACACAGCGGTGAGATAAAAAGCATTACTTTAAGACATTAATATATCATAACTCTTTGCTAGTTTTAAGAATCTATAGCAAATTTCTGGTTGGTTTGATTATGTATATTTGGCCTGTTCAATTCTACACGACATATTCTCCTCCAGTTACTGGCTTTAAATATGCTGATAGCTAGCAAGCTGTGGAGAAGACGTATAAAATATATTCGAGCCATTTTCTAATATTCAATGTTTGAAATTTTTTACCTATATTAGATGGATGATGAGAGGATGCCATTGATACAATATATATATATAAATATATTGGGCAAGTATATATTGTACGGTTGTACTCTTACATTTTCTCGGCTTTTATAGGTGTAAATCCCTGAGTTTGCCCCAAGTCTGACCCACTTACCTGGTTGACTTGATACAAGACGAGTTCTCATGGTTTTACCAATTGTTGTGGGATTATTATTATTATTTTTTTTTTACAATGCCAAGAAACGCTACCTCACACACTTTTTTTTTTTTTTTTTTTTATCCATTTCGGGGCTCGAATTCCTTCCTCTTCTTTGAGGATGGAGAGAGGTTTATACTAATGAGCCCTTTGATAATTGTTGTGGGATTATAATACTTGTACCATTTCCCTTTAATTTCTGGTTTAGGTCCGGATTTAGAATTATGATTATGCCACTTACCCAAAGTTTCTCATGCCGTCCATTATAAGAAATTTAATTTACTGTTTTGCCACCTTATAAAAATTTTATATAAAAAATAAAAAAATCATCTGGGGTCGAATTAAAGAAAGACAAGACACAAGACACTGATATGAATTTATAAAAAAAATTAAATACAAAAAAAGAACAATCATATGGGAATCTTGAAAAGAAAAATTAAATACAATACCATTATTAAAATTAACTAAGAAAAAAGAACAATCATATGAAAAGCTTAAAAAAAGAACAATCATATGGGAATCTTGAAAAAAAAAAAAAAAAAAAAACTCTATTTTTTATTTTTGGTCCAAAATTTTTTTTTCAAGGCATTGTATGTGTCTGTTAAACAGTACCTGTGGGCCCATGATTGCCAAATGGGTCACCCTTTTTGGCGATCCATTCCACGATTCATAATTCCTGGCCCACTTTTCAGCGACCCCAGTGGACTACCCAAATCGTTATTCTGGACCCAAAATCGTTAAAAACATCACTGGTGAAGCTACTTTAAACCGTTTCAGGTAATGGTTCTTAGGGGCAGCCACCCCACTCGAATCTCAATTTAATTTTTCAATAGGATAATTATTTTTACAATTAGAGTTAAGTTTTGTTAGATAAAATCTAACTTTAACTCAAAATTAAGGTGTTGGACAACTTCAATTTTACTCGAATCTATTTTAGATCGAGTCTTTATAGATTTTCTTTTTTGTAACATTCCTAGTAAAAGAAGTAGATGACCAAAGTATTAAGAAGGATATTGCCATCGTTGAGTTTGAAACTGACTATTGATAATAAACAACCCTAAGGAGGAGAACACGTTAGTCATCATGACCCTTGTGCCCTGAGTGACACACAGTGATATAGTAGATGGGACAAAGGGTCGCAATCCCATGAAAGTGAGCTAATTTAAAAAATTCATCCTTAATTTTAATTGCAAGTTGCAACTCGCTTGGATGAAATCTGAATCACTAGCATTCACTGATCAACCATACAAGGGTGAATTTGTTGGCCTTGTACACATTACCCGAGCTAGTCATATCCGAAGTTGTTGCCTTAACTGCAAGAGTGAACAATATTATTATCATAACAAGGAAAAAGTATTAAATACCCCACGAGTATGATACTTCGAGATAATGAAAGATTAAATTATGAATGTAATGATAAATCCCACCACATCCAAGTGGTGGGATGAATTCGAGTACCATACCTCCAGATATTTGTATTCATAAGTAGACGGTATTTGATGTGATACAATTAATTATTTGTTACCATCCAAAAGAAGAGTGACCATAACAACGAAAAAGTATTAAATACCTCACGAGTATGATACCCGGAGATAATGGAAGATTAAATTATGAATATAACGATAAATCCCACCACATCCAAGTGGTGGGATGAATTCGAGTATCGCACCCCACCAAATATTTGTATTCATAAGTAGACGGTATTTGATGTAATACAATTGATTGTTTGTTACCATCCAAAAGAAGAGTGACCCCACCACATCCAAGTGGTGGGATAAATTCGAGTACCATACCCCCATATATTTGTATTCATAAGTAGACGGTATTTGATGTAATATAATTGATTGTTTGTTACCATTCAAAAGAAGATTGACCCCAAAAAAAAAAAATGATGTCATCGTTGGTATTAAATATGAAAATATTTTTAAAATCAAAGTAATTAATAAAATTTTAATTTGTAATAAAAAATTCTTTTTAGAGTGGAAATACTTCTAATCGAATGGAGGAGAGGGTAACCAATTAAAATTAAATAAATAGTACTCGTATTATGTGAGTGGCACGGCACTTGAATTTTGCTTCATTTGAATAATGCATGTACAATGTTGCCCTCGCCCCCAACCCCATATTAAAAGTTATACAAGACCCATCATCCGTAAACCCCAAGACTGAAATTCTCAGTTATCCCAGATATCGACGACCGACGGCCTCTGGGAACTCCCGAATTATCCCTTCACACACGCACACACAAAATCAAACTACAGAATGGTTTATATCACATCGTGGGACGATTTCGTGGAGAGATCCGTCCAGTTGTTTCGTGCTGATCCCGAATCTGTAAACTCGTCTATCTTATAGTTCTTGAAATAATGTTTTGTTTATTTTTACCCTTGACCTATCTTTCTTCCTTTTCTTTAACTAATTGTTTTGTTTTCTTTTTACTTCTTTTTCCAATTTTGATCGGTTTAATACGACATAGACGCGTTATGTGATGAAATACAGACATTGTGACGGCAAATTGGTTCTCAAGGTCACCAATAATCGTGAGGTGCGAATTACTTCTCAATTTCCTGTTCACTGTCTCCTATTTTATATATATATATATATATATATATATATATATATATATATATATATATCATTTTTTTTTAGTGCTGTTTTGTTGAATTCTGATATTACTATTCATGTCGCCGAATCATTCTTATTGGGTTAGTAAATGTTTGATATCATTATTTGCAATCGTTGTTATTTTTGTATGCATATGCATAAAATTTGTATAGTGTCCTTAGTGAATATGAGCATGTGATTTGTAGTGAGTAAATTGACTCAGTAGGTCTCTGATTTGGTTGTGTGAAGTTTTAGGGACTTGAATAGGGTTTAAAAATTTCAGGAGAAGTTTGTATTTGCTTAAGACCAATTTATTTTTAATTCAAGGAACAAAATTCAACTGGTTTTCTCAGGAGTGCATGCTTAAACTTGGAACTATGACATATTCTTTGTTGGCATCCGGAAGGATGGTCCTAACATATAAGATATAAGAGTTTTTTTCTTTCCAAAGTTAAAATTGCCGTAATTTGAGTTGTATGTAATCCACAAGATCAGGCTTAAAACACAGTTAGTCTGGGGTTTGGTTGGGGAAAAACAATTGCCCTTAATCGACTTTACTCTCGCACTGGTATTTTTATATGTCTACATGGAAAAGAGCATCTCTCTGAAAGTCTGATGTGACATACCATGAAGACAGTGATTCTCTGGATGGAGAATGACATGACATGACAGTTTTTTACTTGAAATAGAGCCACATCATTCTGTTAAAAAAATTGGTAATTCCCCTACTCTTTTGTACACAATACTTTTTGGCAATTGGGCACCTTTGGAAAGGATGCCGTACATGGGTTAAAAGAGCGTTTATGGCCTTGTGAAAAAAAAAATTGTTAAGAGCTACAATGCTCTGAGTAATTAACAGATCTCTTTTAGAAGCCCTCTCTCAGATGAGAGAAGCAGGCTTATCATTATTATTATTATTATATTTGTTTTTTTGGTGCTTATTTTTTTCCCTTATTACAGTGAACAAACTAGGAGCTCCATGCTGGCCCATCCAGAGATGGATTGTTGAATTCAACCATAGTTGTATTGACCCTAGGTTTATTATGAAGATGGTGCATAGAGGATCCTCACCTTGTTTGGGGATCTTTTTTTTTATTATTTCAAGTTTCGATTAAATTACCAAATAGTAATTGCAATATGAGAAATAAACAAAAGAGGGAAGCCTTGACTATCAAATTTTTTAAGTAGATGAGTTTTCCTACTATTCATTGGAATCTCAACGCTTCGAATGAAAAACATACTCGCTCAAGGTGGTTGTGAACCATCACCAGGGTGGTTGCGTTTTTGCTATGCACCATCACCAGGGTTGTTTCGTTACTTAAGAAACTTCTTCAAACCCTTATCAGGGCAAGGTTTTTATTATTTTATTTCATTTTATTTTGTCAAACCAATTATCGATTCTTAGACTCAGTGTTGAGTTGGTTGGATCTGTTCTTTTTTATTGGAATGTTTTCACATTAAGTTCATTAAAGAGATTAGCGTTGGTTTACAACCTCACAAACTCTTTATCCCAGTTGACTTGTAGCTTTTAACCAGGTTGGGCTTACAATTTGTCACACACATAGTCAAAGCAAGTGATGTTGATCTGTTGAAAAATAAAAATCCGATAAACCTTGTTTCTCTGGCACAAGTTGAACTGCCTTATTGGTATTCTAATTTTAACATTCAACTCTAAACCAGAAACAAGGTCAGCATGATGTTCAGTTGAGTGAGTTCTGGAATAGCTAGATGGCATTAATAGTTCGCATCCAGGCGTGCTTCTTGGTTATGTTTGGTCAATCTGGTCAATGTGATATTAGGCAAAATTATTAGTTTGTCATGAGGTGGTCTGGAATAGTATTTTTAGTATAGTTATATTATACAAACATTTCTCCAATTAGTTTGTGTGATGGGACGTGGAAGATGGTCAAGTTTGCAAGAGGATTCTTTTGGTTATTATGTTTTGCAAGATTATGTTCAGGAATTCCAAGGAATGGCTGGGGGCAAGGGATTCTGTTGAAAAATAGATATTTGGTTTTAATAAGACCATATTTTAGGGGATATGATAGGCGTGTAAATATAGATAGTCAATGACCAGATTTTAGGGGATATTTTACAGTCTGTAGCTTCTGTTAGTGTACAGCCTGTAATTACAGCCTGTAGTTTGCTGTCACAGCTTGTAGTCAGCTTGTAGTTTCCTTTTTTTAGCCCCTTGTATGTCCTATTTAACTAAAGCATTGTAAACCATTCAAAGGAAGGCAATATACAGATTTTCTTTCAATCTTGAAATCGCCTATTTGGTATCAGAGCATCTTACCGATTCTTCTGGAAAAAAAACCCCTAGCTGTTCCTTTTTTTTTCTCTTCCAAACAACTCTAATCACCATGTCTGATGACATACCTGAGTCCAAGACCAAGACCTTTGAGTCCCAAGTCCAAAACTCTCAGACACACTCGGTCCAGATTACCACAATTCGGCTAAATGGTGAAAACTTCCTTCGCTGGTCCCAGTTCGTGCGGATGTATATCCGAGGCAGAGGCAAAATCAGCTACCTAACAGGAGAAAAGAAGGAACCAAAACCTGAAGATCCATCCTACTCGACCTGGGATGCAGAGAATTCGATGGTGATGACCTGGTTGGTGAATTCTATGGAGGAGGACATCAGTTCTAATTATATGTGTTACCACACAGCAAAAGAACTTTGGGACAATGTCAACCAAATGTATTCAGACCTAGGAAATCAGTCTCAAGTCTATGAACTGACGCTGAAACTCGGAGAGATCCATCAAGGAGATAACAGTGTTACAAAATATTTCAACTCTCTGAAACGTTTGTGGCAGGACCTTGATTTGTTCAGCGATTATGAGTGGAAATTGCCTGAAGATTGCAACCATTACAAAAAGAAGGTGGAAGACAACCGCATCTTCAAGTTTCTCATTGGACTCAATGTCGAGTTTGATGAAGTGAGAGGCAGAATAATTGGACGACAACCCTTGCCTTTAATCGGTGAAGTCTTCTCCGAGGTTCGAAGAGAGGAAAGTCGCAGGCTGGTCATGCTTGGAAAAAAGTTATCAAATGGTGCTGTTGAGACCTCTGCCTTGGTCGCATCTGAAGCGAATATTGGCAGGAAACATAATGAAAAGCCCCGTCTTTGGTGTGACCACTGCAACAAGCCTCACCATACCCGTGAAACCTGCTGGAAAATTCATGGTAAACCAGCGAATTGGAAGAGTAAGCAGGAAGGCAGATTCAACCAGGAAGGCAGATTCAACCGAGCCCCATCAGCTCATGAAGCCGAGGCACTTCCCTTCAGCAAAGAACAGATGGATCATTTTCTAAAATTGTTGAAATTCAATTCCTCATCTGGTACTCCTAATGTTTCTCTTGCTCAAACAGGTAACAACCCGAAGGCCTTATCTTGTCGTTCAAATTCCAGTGTTACCCCATGGATCATTGATTCAGGGGCTTCTGACCATATGACAAGTTGTTCTCATTTATTTCAAACTTATTCACCCTGTTCTGGCTCTGAAAAAAAAATCAGAATAGCTGATGGTTCTTATTCTCCTATTGTAGGCAAAGGTTTAGTGAAACTTTCAAAAATTATTGATCTTAAGTCTGTCCTTCATGTCCCTAAGCTTGCTTGTAACCTTTTATCAGTTAGTAAATTGTCCAAAGACTCTAATTGTCGTGTTATCTTTTTTGAATCCTATTGTGAATTTCAGGACCAGAGCTTGGGGAAGACGATTGGCAGTGCTAAGATGATAGATGGTCTCTACTATTTTGAAGATGATATTTCAAGTAATAAAAAGGCTCAAGGTTTGAGTAGTTTTCGTTCTATCCCTGTTAGAGAACAAATAATGCTATGACATTTTAGACTAGGGCATCCTAGTTTCCATTATCTTAAAAAATTATTTCCTTCTTTGTTTAAAGGATTGGATTGTTCATCTTTTTATTGTGAGAATTGTTTTTTATCAAAGAGTCATCGTACTACGTATTCTCCTAAACCTTACCAAACATCAAAACCATTTTATTTAATCCATAGTGATGTTTGGGGCCCTTCTAGGATCACAACTCTTTCTGGAAAAAAATGGTTTATGACTTTTATTGATGATCATACACATTTGTGTTGGGTGTATTTAATGAATGAAAAATCTGAAGTTGAAAAATTATTCAAGGATTTTTATATGATGATTGAAAATCAATTTCAAACAAAAATTGGCATTCTTTATACTGATAACGGCACCGAATACTTTAATGAAGTTTTAGGAAGTTTTTTAACAGAAAAAAGGAATTTTTCACCAATCCACTTGTGTTGACACACCCCAACAAAACGGAATTGCTGAAAGAAAGAATAAACATTTACTTGAAGTTTCTCGTGCCATCATGTTTTCAATGAATGTTCCTAAGTATTTGTGGGGTGAAGCCGTTTTAACAGCAACATATTTGATTAACAGGATGCCTACTCGTGTTTTTAACTATTTTACACCCCTTGAAAGCCTTAAAAAATCTTTTCCTGAAACTCGGATTTATTCAAACCTGCCTTTGAAAGTATTTGGGTGCACTGTCTTTGTCCATTTACCTAGTAGACTTCGATCTAAATTGGATCCTCGGGCTGAAAAATGTGTATTTGTTGGGTATGCCCCGAATAAAAAGGGGTACAAATGCTTCAATCCGACAACAAAAAAAATGTTTATCAGTATGGATGTTTTTTTTTTCTAGAAAATCATCCTTATTTTCAGAAAACTTTTCTTCAGGGGGAGAAAGAGAGTGAAGAAAATTTTTGGGAGATTTCTACTAATATTCCCTTATCTAAAACTATTGTCTCACACTCTACTCCAAACACTGATCTTTTTAAACAAGAAAATGATGTTCTAGAATCAGGAAACCCGGGGCCTCCTAGTCCTAATCTGCCGAGCCTTACTGTATCTCCAACAGGGGGAGAAATCCTACCAACGGTTCCAAAAAAACTGAATCCTGAGCTTCTAGTTTATAACAGAAAAAAGACTCATCAAAAGAGTAGAGAACCTACTATTGTACCTGAGCAAGGCCAATCAGAGGTCCCGAGCAATGACTCCCTGAACACTCAAGGTACTCTAAATCCTAACTTGTCTACAGTTGTCCCTACTATTTCTAATCGTACAGAGACACCTAGCCAAGTTCCTGTAGACCTTGATATCCCTATAGCTGTTAGAAAAGGAATCCGAACCTGTACCCAGCATCCCATTGCCAAATACTTGTCTTATGATAAACTTTCCCATAAACATAGGGCCTTTACTTCAAATATTTCTCACTTGTTTGTTCCAAGAAACATTCAGGAAGCACTAGATGATCCGAATTGGAAATCAGCAGTGTTAGAGGAGATGAATGCTCTTAAAAGGAGTGGAACGTGGGAGATAGTTGACTTACCCAAAGGAAAGAAAACTATTGGGTGTAAATGGGTTTTCACTATTAAGTGTAAAGCTGATGGTAGTGTGGAAAGGTACAAGGCAAGACTTGTGGCGAAAGGTTTTACGCAAACGTATGGCATTGATTACCAAGAGACGTTTGCTCCTGTAGCAAAAATAAATTCTATCCGAGTCTTATTGTCGTTGGCAGTCAATTCTAATTGGCCATTACATCAATTGGACATAAAAAATGCCTTTTTAAATGGAGACTTGGAAGAAGAAGTGTTTATGAGCTTGCCACCTGGGTTCGAAGGAAAACACAGTCAAAGCAAAGTCTGTAAACTCAAAAAATCCCTGTACGGTTTGAAATAGTCTCCAAGAGCGTGGTTTGAACGTTTTGGAAAGGCTGTGAAGAGTCATGGGTATCATCAGAGTCAGGCAGACCATACCATGTTCTACAAACACGGTGAGGAAGGGAAAATTGCCATTTGAATTGTGTATGTGGATGATATAATTTTGATAGGTGATGACATTGAAGAGTTGACCAGACTGAAGAAGAAACTTGCTAAAGATTTTGAAGTCAAAGATCTGGGAGCATTAAAATACTTCCTTGGAATGGAATTTGCCAAGTCAAGAGAAGGAATTTTCGTGAATCAACGAAAATATGTACTTGATTTGCTTAATGAGACAGGACTACTCGGGTGTAAAGCTGCTGACACTCCAATTGAAGTCAACCTGAAGTTAGAAGCTGTCGAACCCGAGAATATGGTTGATCGTGAAAGATATCAGAGATTGGTGGGAAGACTAATTTACTTATCTCACACACGCCCAGATATAGCATTTGCAGTCAGTATGGTGAGTCAGTTCATGCACTCTCCTGGACAGGAACACTTTGAAGCAGTGTACAGGATTCTGAGGTACTTAAAGGGCTCACCAGGTAAAGGACTTATGTTCAAGAAACAAGGTCATTTACAAGTGGAGGTGTACACAGATGCTGATTGGGCAGGCAGTATAGTTGATAGACGATCTACCTCAGGATATTGCACCTTCGTTGGAGGAAACTTAGTCACGTGGCGAAGCAAGAAACAAAATGTAGTAGCGAGGAGTAGTGCAGAAGCCGAGTTCAGAGCACTCGCCCATGGGATTTGCGAAGCTATATGGTTAAAAAGACTCCTTGAAGATTTGAAGGTTATTGTTTCTCCTCCAATGAGAGTCTACTGTGACAACAAAGCTGCCATTTCAATTGCTCATAATCCAGTCCTCCACGACAGAACCAAACATGTGGAAGTTGACAAACACTTTATCAAGGAAAAGCTTAACTGTGGTATGATTTGCATTCCTTATGTCTCTACTACTGAACAAGCTGCAGACATCCTTACCAAAGGACTACACAAGAAACAGTTTGAAGTTTTAAGAAGCAAGCTAGCTATGGAAGACATCTACAAGCCAGCTTGAGGGGGAGTGTTGAAAAAGAGATATTTGGTTTTAATAAGACCATATTTTAGGGGATATGATAGGCGTGTAAATATAGATAGTCAATGACCAGATTTTAGGGGATATTTTAGTGTATAACCTATAGCTTCTATTAGTGCACAGCCTGTAACTTCTGTTAGTGTACAGCCTGTAGTTTGCTGTCACAGCTTGTAGTCAGCTTGTAGTTTCCTCTTTTTAGCCCCTTGTATGTCCTATTTAACTAAAGCATTGTAAACCATTCAAAGGAAGGCAATATACAGATTTTCTTTCAATCTTGAAATCGCCTATTGATTCAGATGTGAAATATCATCCTGTGATGTCATTTTCTGTAGCTAGCATAGTTGCATTAAATTTTTGTTAGGTTTCTCAGTGGATTTAATTTGGATGACGTTTATATTCAGTGAGTTGACGGATGAGAATAAATGGTGTTGTTTTCTACTTGTACATCTCTTGTTCGTGTTTGCAAGGAAATTTTTTTTGGTTATCACATGTTTCTGTATTTCCAGGTATCTGCTCCTCTTGTACAACCTTCATATTGATGAAGAAAAGTGCGGATAAGTTGTTTCAGAAATTATTTGTAATCTATATAGTCACTGTTTCCTGCTACGTAAGATACTAAGATGGAAAATCACCTTGAGGAGTAGGAAAATTTAGTTCATATATAGAAAGGAAAAGAATAGAGTTTCGGATGGAAGGTTTAAGGATTTGGCAAAAGCCTATAGTTCTTTATTTGCCTTGGGCAAAAGTGAATGGATAAAAACTCAACATGCATTTTTTAGTTTGTATTATCTTTGGGAGTCTCTATTTATACTTGGTGGTACCTTATAAATGGTTGGAATAATTTTTTTTTAAAGGTTGTCTCCTATCATTTGTTCCAACTTGATAATCACTCTAAAATTAGTGATGAGTGAGATACATCAAAGTTATGTGGCAGGAAGATAAATTATTGATATGCTGATAAATTATTGATATGCTTAAAGTTTGAGGATAAGGGTTGTTGCTTGTTACGTGGTAAAAGCTAGGTGTTAAATATGAGAATGCTGTTTTAAGTTTGAGGGTAGCCACTTAGTGTAAATAGTGTTGGGGGCTAGATCTATACCCTGTCCGTCCGTCCGTCCATGCATCTTGCACCGGCAAGACCAAACTTAGGGAATGGCCTTTTACATAATATTCTTTTTTACCTTATTTGAGAGAAGGTGAGGGTTTGGGTGTTTGAAGAAACAATGTTTACAACAAAGAAAAAAGAAGTCTATAGATATGGGTTGAATTCTCCCAATGCGGTCTTCCCTTTCACTTGACCAACTTGCAGAGCAATTTATTGTTTAGTGAATAATTACAAGACCACGACTCAAGTTTGCTAGAACTTTGACTACAATATTTTTCTGCCTTAAATATTATTAATATGTTGGACATTTCTATCTATTTATAATTGTCATTTCAAAGACTTGTGTTGAACCATGTTTGCAACTCATTTATACACATACAAAACATTCCATGTTTTTTCATTTAAAATATGTCTATAATAAATAGTTATTCTTTTCATCACTATTTAACTGGTTCTGTGTGCACACACAAGTAAACTTATAAATATATATGTGCAGTATAGTAAATTTACAAACACACATTTTTAGCCATGCCCGTGTCTGGATTCCAGAGAGTTGCTGTGTCGGACGCTCTGTCATTGAAACATGAAACTTCTGTCTATGTACTTTTGATCAAGACTAAATACCTAATCTATGCCTGCAAGCTGAAATCTGCACGTTTAATTATCTTTTGGATTATGTCAAGAATTTTTTGGGAGGGTTTGACTTGCTGGTACCATGATGCAAAATTCTCTGCAGTGCATTTGTTAAATCTTCTATATTCTGTGTATTGAAATCTTTTAAAGCTCAGAAAGTGTTTCAGAGAAAGGAAATCCCTGAGCACCCTTAATAATAGTATCTGAGACTCTGAGTAGACTGATTAATGAAAGATCAATGTGATTATTGGATAACTAAGTGGGTATAATGTAATTTGAGAACCTGTTTACCTGGCATTTGAGTTGTGGTCGTAGATACATTACAGCTATTGTAGTCATAAATGACTCTGGAGTCTGGGTAAAGTTTGTTGGAAAACCTCTTGGTTTTCAGTGGTTCTAGATATTAGGTTAAGAAACTGACCTTTTATAGCTTTGTTGGACATAGCTGTGTAGTCTAAATTTTCAGTAACGACCGGAGGCGTACTCATTAATGCTTTGTTTGGTAGGAAGGAAGGAGGACTAGAGGAGGGATGGAGGGAAAATAGGAAGGAAGGAACAAACTTTCTTCGTTCGGTAAAGAGAAAGGATAATAGGAAGGATAAGTCATCCTTGCTCCTTCACAAATTTTCATCCCTCCAAATAGGGGCAGAATAGAGAAGGGAAGACAATTGGTGCTTTTATGGAAGTTTTGAATTACAATATTATCCTAAATTATACAACTTTTAACTTACCACACTATAGATAGTGATGGGTATAATGATAAAAACAATTTAAAACTCTCTCTTTCCTCATCTCCTAAAAAACGGAATAAATTGTGAGTTTATTCTCTTTTCTTCCATCAAACCGTACAAAAAAATGGAAGGTTGTAATCTCTTCCCTAGGGATGTCTCATCCATCCCTTCTTCTATCCCTTCCATCCAATTTTTTTCTTTTCTACCGAACGAAGCATAAAAGAGAACGATTTTAGGTGTGCATATTTTCTGTTTTCTTAGCATAATGAATGTCCTTCCTTTTCTGTTGAAATGTTTTGATACACATGATTTTGGTTTAAGCTTTTGAGGAACAAAAACCATTGCGAATTACTTGTTGGTTACTGGCCATGTTATCTTTTATTGGGGTTAAGTTTCTGAAATCTTACGACTCTGGTGACTTTACACCTGACCCATTTTTTTTTTTTTATATTCCCTCCCCCCTTGGTTCTTGCTAGTGCCTCAAGTTTAAGACAGACCAGGCACAGGATGCAAAAAAGATGGAGAAGCTGAGCAACATATTCTTTACTTTGATGGCCCGTGGTCCTGAAGGTATTGTTCTTCCTCTTCCTCTGAAAGTTCCTTTTGCTTATGGCACATTAAAATGGAATGATTTCTATATTGTTTTCCCTGTTATCTGAAGGCATCATCCTTTCTATAATATAATCTTCTTAATTACAATGCACATCTCCCCCAGATGCTGGCAAAAATTGAAGTGCATCTCTATGAAATTCGAAAACAATCTTAAGCAAGCAGCTGAAATTATTATGTCATAAATGCTTCAAAAAGGAAAACTGACTTACATGGAATGCATCATAGTATAATACCTTGACTGATGTTTTTGTTAAAAAAAATCTGTTCTCTTGTTATGAAATGTTAAAGAAGTGATTTAGAGCTAAAGCATCACCTTCCATCTGAAGTTACAGATTGTTGCTCCTGCATTGATTTCTGTGAGTGAAATACACATGTATGTAAATAAGCATATATGTGTGAATATAGTAAATTAGGGAATATATACGTTTAATACTCACTAATACATGTTTAAGGTCTAAGTAATCAGAAGTTTATTTTATGGAGTCTGGTTTTATGATTGTGTTTTTATTAGTTGTCACAACAAACAGATTATTCGGGTTATTATTTGATGTCCTCAAAATTGTTTTAATGAGGAACGTTTCTTTTGCCTCTCTTTACGCAGCCGATATATCAGAAGTCACTGGAAAAGAGCAGATGGAATCACAACCAGGCAAGAAAGGAAGGGGAAGAAAACAATAACATTGTTTGATACTTGTGAAATAGGTTTTTAACAAATATTACATTAGTTGGGAATATAAAAGATTTTGTTTGTTATGCCAGTTAAAACTCAATTCCAATGGATTTTTTGCTAACATCAATGTGTTAATCATTTTAGTTTTCTGATTAGTGAATGAATTATAGTGATTGTGTTTCACTGGCTGAATTTGCACACTCAATCCCATCGATCACAATGGGTATAGTGATATTGATTTTATCTCACTTGAAAAAAGTACTTTCCTAATTTTTCTTAATCTCTCATTCAGTCAATGGGTTAAATTATAGGTGATTAATAATATATAGGCTTGTTTGGTTTGCTGATTTAGTGAGGGAAAGAACTTGAATAAAACTAGTTGTAAAAAATCTTCTCTAGTTGTAAAGACATATGTATATATATATATATATATATATATTCATGCACGCACATCTCAAGTTGTAATCATGCCCCTACCTGAAAAGCAGTATTGTGTCTCATCGGATCCCAATGTACTACGTACCATTTTTATTACTTTTGCTTTAATTTCCCACTTTTAAGCAAAAAAACAAAAAGTAAAGGTGTTTGTTTATTTCCATGTGCCTCAAAGGCATGAAAAAATGTCCCCTTTCCTTGATTAAATGATTGTATGTATTTTATAAAATATTCTTAAACCAAGGGACAGATTGTCCCTGGTGAGCTTAGATTAGGACAAACCGATAAAGTGCGATTCTCTCTTTATATCAACTATACGTTCTTAAAATATCAACCAGCATTAAAAGACTCGGCATTCGGTCCTATGAAAAAAAAGGCTCAAATTTATCTTAATTATGTTAGGAGAGTAAGATCAAAGTCTCAATTTTAGTTTAATTATGTATCAAGGAGATTCTCCACTTTTATTTTCATAGATAAGAAAAAAAGCCACCCTTTACTTTGGGTGTAAATTTTTTAATACTTCTCGATAACAGTGAGAATCTAAATACGTACTTCCATGCATGTATTTAAAGATTGTGGATATATCTAATTCGCTTCTTTCAAAATTCTTAAGGTACATGGTGTAGGCTGTTATAAATTGGACAAATGTAGGGTTGGATCTTCTCCAACGCATTAGAGGGTTGATATCACTAATCACCTCGTGGGTTATCTCTATCCTCCTCCATCCACTCCTCTCCAAATAAATATATATGTATGAATAACGAATATATATATATATATATATATATATATATATATATATATCACATGTCCTTTCAAAAATTTAAAGATTATATTGACGTGAATGTCATGATGATTTGATTAGATCCGGATGCAATTATTGCCTCGATTTAACCTAATGATATTTCGTTTATGAATGATGGACATTTTAACCTAATGATATTAATGTGTTTTTTTTTTTTTTTATGTCATTGGAATTTAAAACATATGTTGGACTTGAAATCTAAAATTCATACCCAAAGGCCCATAACAGCTAATGATAATATGTAATTATAAGATGTTGTCACGTCTCATTCACGACTGTATATTAGAGAATGTGTGAGTTTAGGATGAGAAAAATGCTTTATCATATTCTTTCGCTATAGTATTAAAAACATTTTGTTGAAAGTCACTATTGGCATATTTGAAATGTTGGATGGGATATTTCTCACTGTCATGCATGAAGATGCACCTTACCTATCAAAAGCATTCTTGATATATATATATATATATATATATATTTCGTCTCTACTCTAAAGATTACGTATTCAATTAAAAAGTAATGAATCTTGTTGAGAACATCTTAAGGTAAATATTATAAAATGCCTTCTAAGCACCAGAGTTAGGTCATATCAATTATGAGTGGTTTTGTGTTATGAAGTCGGGTTTTGCTTGAAAATATGTGTTTTTACAGTTATTATGAATTCTCTATTCATTTTGTCCTAAATATAAATATTTATCAGTATATATAAATTAGCCGTTGAAACTTGAAGGAGGATTGTGTGTATTGCATTTCATTTACAATATATGATATTATTTAATTAAACTTTTACATTCTCATTTAAAAAAAAAAAAAATTAATCTCATCAAATTAAATTTTCAAATTTGACTGTCTTACATATTTAATTTGACAAAATTAAACTTTTACATGCCTAGGGGGTAAACTTGTGCATAAATTTTTGTCTTAAAAATGTGGTGAATTAATAGAGAGTTCGCAACAATTATTATGAAGTCAGTCTCACAATAATATATTACTCTTTATATATATATATATAGGATACTTGCTTGGGTCCTCCACCTTGGAGAATTTTCTATCTGATGTGGTCCAGTATCATTGAAACATGTGTTTAAAAAATAAACAAAAGTTACAAATGGGTATTATCCATATGTTACAAGTTAAACCATTTTTCTTTTCTTTTCTGTTTTTTCTTCTTTCCTTCTTAAAACAAGATGCCCTCCTCTATCTTCCATTCTCTCTCCACAACAAAACAATTCTTCCTCTTCTTCTTCTCTTGATCTCACAACAATGCAAATCTTAATTAATTAAACAAAGAGAAAAATCTAAAACTAAAATCTCTGGAAAAAAGAGTAAATAAATAGTCATTCATTGTCCAATTTTGCTCCATAAATAAATAATTATTTTCAACTCCAAAACAAAATAATCATTCACTTTATAGTAAGGAGAAAAAAATATTAAAATTTAAAGAAATCATATAAGAAATATTATTCTTTTTCTTTTTCTTTTTCTTTTTTTCTTTTTTTTTTTTTTTTTTTTTTTTTGCCATTATCATGTTTTGCATGAATTCTATTAGTTTTTGTGTTTATTTATTTTTACATAATTAGTTTTTGTATTTATGATTGTCTATATGTAATATTGGATTGCTAAGCACAGTGTCACGTGAATTCATAAGATTCCTTGAGTAATCAAATTGAAAGTGATGGAAATAATGTAATACCCCTAATTTTAAAATGATAGTCTCGGTATTTATTTATTTATTTTAATTGTATTTTTAATTATTTAATTGATTATTTGACTAATTGCTTATGTGTTTAATTGAATTAAGTATTACTTGGTTATTTGATTACGTGTCTATGTATTATTTGTATTTGTCTATGTGTTAATTGTTTAATTAGATTATGTGCTTAAATGGTGTTTTGATTAATTGTAAATTAAATGTTTTCTTTTCTTTTATTTTATTATTTTATTTTATTTTTCTTTTATGGTTATGGTTAGTAGTGATGAGCCAACCAATTGGGTCCCATGGACTACTTGGATAGGAGGTTAGATGTGTATGGATTATTACCCATGGATAGTTGTATATGTACATATATAGATATATATTATATATATATATAAAAAGAAAAGTAATTTATTAATTACTTTTATGGTAACTTGGGTAGTAATATTTAATCTTATGTATATATTTTATATTTAAATAATAAAAATATACATAGATTTGATATGTGTTATGTTTTAAGTTACTTTATAATATTATGGTAACTTAAGTATTATTGGATAATCCATTAATAAATAATGAAATGTGTATAATTTATTTATTTAATAAAGATATACGTAAATTATATACGTAACCTATTTTACTTACCTTTTTAATATATATAAAAGGAAAAGTAATTTATTAATTACTTTTATGGTAACTTGGGTAGTAATATTCAATGTATATGTTTTATATTTAAATAATAAAAATATACATAGATTTGATATGTATTATGTTTTAAGTTACTTTATAATATTATGGTAACTTAGGTATCATTGGATAATCCATTAATAAATAATGGGATGCGTATAATTTATTTATTTAATAAATATATACATAAATTATATACGTAACATATTTTACTTACCTTTTTAATATTTTAATATATATTTTTTTAAGTTGACTTGGATTGGAAAAAAAGTTAGGATTATTTTATTTAGCCTATAAATATATAGCTATAGGTTGTAAAAAGGGGTTAGAAATATTTATGTAATATATTATAAAGAGAGAGTTAGAGAGGGAAGGAGGAAAAGGAAGGAATGATAAGAAAAACCCTGTAGAGAGAAGATCAAGGAAGAAGAAGTTTAACTTTCGATCCGAAAGTTTAAGGCAAGTTCTTCTTCTATCTTTTCCCTTTGATTCGTGTTTCTATGCATGCCTAGGAAATTCCAGGATTTATTAAACACATAAAATTAAATAATTATGCATGTTTAATTGGATTAGAATATAGGTTTTATGAAATTGGTTTATATTTATTCTTGTGTTATGAATTGATAAATGCATGATTTTGATTTGATTTTCGGTGTGAATTTTTATATGTTTACATTATGCATTTTTCATATCTGTGAAATGATGGAACGTAGAAACATGCCTAGGATTCCTGAACATTAAATAGGAATTAGGTTTGGGTTTAAATAAATTTAAATAGACTCAATCATAATAATGCTTGCTATTTGAATGTTTTAAACAAACGAATGGATTTAATCTTGTAAAATGTTAACAATTAAGATTAAATGTGTAGGATGAATTTGATATGGAGAATGCTTATTTGACGGTATAATAAAATATCATCATGTATAAGATTCAGTTTGTGTAGGACATATGATATAGGAGGCTTAAATAATCATTCCTATTTTGTGATAATTTGATATTATATTATCATAGTTATTTCTAGATTGTTTGATGTATTTCCTTAATCGTGACATCAATTGTTGGATTGTGTGGTTTAATGCACCGGTATGGGACGGTAGCATTCTAGGGACGGATTAACTTGTCAGTTAAGTCCTACCTATTTTATATAAGGGGAATTGATTAACTAAAATGTTAAATCCTACTTATATTAGAGTCAGGTCAGCTGAACAAGTTGATTGACTTACGGAGGATTAATTTATTATATAAAGGAATGGATTAACTAAAATGTTAAGTCCTAATTATATTCAAATCAGGTCAGCTGAACAAGTTGAATGACTTATGGAGGATTAATTTATACTGGATATGATAGTTACCAGATTTTATATATATAAGTATGGTGTCATGATATGAGTTTGAGTCTCAGGATCAGTGGTTAGGGCGCGTATATCACCAGGGATGTATAGCTAGATATAGTGTAGTTGTGTACCTTGGTAGGTCTAGGTACTCATGCCCACTATATGTGTGTTTTGCATGTTGCCTACTATTCAGGTTGAGACAACCGTATAGTCTACTGAGGTTCCT